GGGGACAACCGTCTAGCGTTAAGAGAACTGTGGGCCCCTGGGAATACCATAGGTCCTGGGTTGTTCAGCTTTCAGGATTGTGGTGAGCTGTTTTTAACACTCTTTTTTTTGCTGGTGGCTCATGGAAAGTTTGGCTTCTTTAGTTTCAGGCCCCTCCTCCCAGGGCCTGAGTTCTCAGTGACACTGGCCCTGGCCTGGAAAGACGTCCAGGGATGTCTGCCCACAGCATGTCCTTGGCCTGTATCCCCCTGTCTCCGCCTGACTTCCTGTAACCCGGGACTTCTCTCCAAGGGACTGGGCAACAGTCCGCCCACTCAGTCCTGAACCACGGGGAGGCCTCCTCCCAGCACCCTCGTCCAGGCTTGTTTTTTTTTTTTTTTTTGGTTAGGCAGAGAGAAAAACTTTTTTTCCATTAATGTCCACAGCATCTGGGAGCTACAGCCCCGAGGGGATTGCTGTATATAGGAGCCAAGGCAGAGCGATATGGTCAGAGTCAAATCCTGGCTCCACGGCCCTGAGAATCTGCTACTTGATGTTTCCAAACCCAAAGCCCCTTCTCTGTAAAATGGCGAGGTTACTTTTCCTTTTGCAAGAGATTAAATGTGATGCTGTTAGGTCCCTAGACCACACTTGGAAAAAAAAAATACCATCAAAGTGCCTAACACAAAACTGAATACTTAGAAACCTGTTAGGTAAGATCATGCAGGCAAGAAAGAGACTCAGCTTCCACCTCCAGTAAGCCCAGGGAGGAGGAGGCCAGGGACTCACAATTCTGGAGCCGGGAACAAGCTGCCATCGGGCCCAGGACTTAGCAATACTGTGGCGACAGCCCTCAGTGCTCCCATCCTAAATCAAGTAAGTTGAAGTGGGAAGCCTTGGGCAATGAGGAGCACATGGATTTAGGGACACTTGTTTAGCTCTATTGATGGGGTAGGGAGGCTGGGACCTAACCAAGTAGGTAGAAACCACAGGAGTGGACAGTAAAGATGAGGCTAAAAGGGGATCAGTGTCAAAAGTTGGGGAGCTTCTCAGATCCCCACTCACTATTTGCTGATGTCCAGAGTTGGAAAGGCACAGAACAGAAGAACAGGGATCCCTAGAGGGCCTAAAATTTGGGTGAGTTTTGGCTCAGAGTTCCCAAGCAGCTGAGTCTTGCTGTCTTCCTTGCTCCCCAAAACTGTTGTAACTAGGGAAAATGGTGTGAAAACACACTGAGAACTGTAGCATTGCAGGCTCGTATGAGGTAAAAAAACACAGTTCTAATCTGAGCTGGGACACTTAGTTCAAACGCTCTCTTGAGATCAGCAGGACCTGCCCAGACTATATACGCCATGACACACGCCTGTAACCCACTCATGTTCTGCCACCTGCTGGTGAGAATATGCAATTGCAGCCTAAGCAAGCTCTCAGGCCCTCTGCACGATGCCCGGGGCTGTGGATGCACAGTTTAGAGAGAATTCCTGTGTTCTCCCACATTCTTCTGCGCCTTGATCTGTAATCTCACTGTGAAGATCCTCAGCTGTGTGCAAGGGGCACACTCCTCTTAGACACTCCCTTTGGCTCCCCCACGTACCATTCGTACGGACAGACCTGGAAAGCAGTTGATACAGGGACTTTGGGGTACCAGCACAAGGACCACAGTTTAAGAGGACACCATTAAACAATCCCCTTGGCCCTGTGAAATCCAGGCCTTTGGGGTTGTGGCTTAGGATGACTGATTCGTCTGGTTTTCCTGAGACTGTCCTTGCTTGTTTGGTTTGGTTTGAGTTTTTCGAGACAGGGTTTCTCTGTGTAGCTCTGAGTGTCCTGGAACTCACTCCACAGACCAGGCTGGCCTCAAACTCAGAGATTCCCACTGTCTCTGCCTCCATAGTGCTGGGATTAAATTTATGCATCACCAGGCCAGGTCAGTTGTCCTAGTTATAGGACCAAGAAGCTCATGTCAACATCTGGGATGGTCTCAAGCAAACTAGATGAGTTTGCTGGTCTCTGCTGTGAGCAGAGGGGGGGAGGGGATGAGACAGCACACAGACACCGGCACCTTGTCACACCAGCCCTGCTGAGCTGAAGGTGAGTGGGCACATAGAATTTCCCTGGAGTCCATGGGGCCTCTCACCGGCACCCTGCTGTCCGGCAGGCACAAGGCTCCTCCCAGACAGCAGTCTCGCTAGATTACATGTGTAGTCCGGAGACTTTTCCTCCCCTTAGCTCATCATCGCATGGCTCACTGGGGACTCTGAAGCTTAGGGATTGTCTTCAAGGTCACGCAGAAGGAAAAGAACGGGTAGGGAGGGCCTCTTCTAGACAACCCTTCTCATTGTCTAAGGGACGCTGAGGCCCTAACAGAAGATGAACCTTGACTTGAAGGCCCCTCGGAGAGACTTGAGTTCTTGACTGCTGTGACAATCCATACTCACCCCTAATTCTTGTAAAGGGTACCCCAAAGTGCCTGAAAGGAAACAGAATCCATCCTTGGTCCTAAGGGTGCAAACATGTGGTCCAGACAATCGCATACCGATTGGCTCAGCATTGAGCGTATGAACCGAGTTATTCTGACCTACTTGAAGACTGACCGACCAGGGCAACATGGGAGAATTGGAACATAAACATCTCCTAGAGTTCTGTGCCTTGACCAATTCAAGAAGACATGGAGCCACATAAATTTGTAGCTATTTATTGCACTGAAAACACCAAGAAATAAAACAGACACCTCTTCTCCCCTCCCCCCACCCCCACCCTCACCCCCAGTAGCAGAAAGTTTGAGCAGTGGTCATTCAAGTTCACAGCCACATATTAAAAAAAAAGAAAGAGAGAGAAAGAGAATCGAAACAAAACCCTAAACAGATAGTAACAAAGAAACCAGCATGGGAGCCTAGCAAACATACTTCCCCAAGCCCTTTGAAGGGGGCCAGGAAGCCACGGGGCAGGATTTGAGCTATGGCGCATAAGGCTGGAGATGCTTTTCCTATAAACCTGATGAGAGGCTGAGTTTTGATTTGGTCTTCCTTCCTTCCTTCCTTCCTTCCTTCCTTCCTTCCTTCCTTCCTTCCTTCCTTTCTTTTTTTCTTTCTTTCCTTCCTTCCTTTCTTCCTCTCTTTCCTTTCCTTTCCCTTCCTTCCTTCCTTCCTTCCTTCCTTCCTTCCTTCCTTCCTTCCTTCCTTCCTTCCTTCCTCTCTTTCCTTTCCTTTCTTCTTTCCTTCCCTCCTTCTTTCTTTCTTTCTTTCTTTCTTTCTTTCTTTCTTTCTTTCTTACTTTATTTTTTCATCTAGAGGGTATTTGGGAGGAGCATGGAGCTTGTCTGGTGAGAGTGGGCTCTGGGCAGTTTTTTTCTGCCAGTTCTCCTGCCACCTTGGGGCCACTGTAGTGTCCCAAGGTCTATACTAGTTGGCTGCCCACCCACAGGAGCGGCCTCCGCAGAGCGGGCCATCTCAGACTGGGGTAGGGATCTGCCTCCATTTCTTCCACATGTGGAGAGCCACAGTGGGCATGGGGCATGTTAGCCAACAGAAGGCAGGGCATAGGTGTCTTCTGGTTGGGGAAACCGAGGCCCCAAGAGGGGCAAGGACTCACCCAAAGCAGGTATAATCAGAGCCTGGAATCAAAGACACCAAAGTCCCCAAACACTTCTTTTCCCTGCAGTCTATTGCTGGCAAGCAACAGACAGGCACCAAAGAGGAAAATGAGGGGCAGGCAGGGAAAAGGATAGGGACTGGCCAGGCTTGGCACATAAGAAGGCCAGCCAGTGACAAACCCAACAGGTTCTCATAAGTGGGGTGGCGTAGACATGTCACTGTCTTGTTTGACCCTCCATCATTCTGGGTAGGAACACTGATGGAGAAACTGAGGCTTAAATAAGGAATTTGATCTTGATTGGTAATTACAGCATCCCCTGGTAAAGGCCACACCCTCCTTTACCTTTGCCTGAGGATGGCTAGGAACAATGGGTTCACTGGGCCTTATAAGGAAGCCTGGTTCTGGGGCAGGGCCAGGGCCCATCCTTGGGCCTAGGCAGTAGTGTCTCCACCAAGGGTAGAGGACTACTATGGGGTGGCTTACACAATAGAGCCACTCTCCTGCCCTGTACTTGTCCCTGGGCAGCAGGACTTGAGAGAAGAGCCCAGCACATAGCTCATTACATGGGGGAAGGGAGAACACCAGAAAGTTCTGGATTAAACACCCCTTCCACTTTTGCTCCAACCAACCCTCAGAGAAGCCGAGAGAATCAGTGTCGTCTCCAAACCCCTGGGCACATGGCTCTTCCTCCCCTAGGATCCTCCAGAGGGCACAGTGTCTCATGCTGGCAAAACACAGCCACACAGAGACCAAAAGCACAGAGAGGCAGCAACGTAATCCCAAGTTGGACACTGAGAATACAACCTCGAATGTTATTAGTATTAATATTTTGTCCAAAACATGTCGTTTGATTTTTGCTGAGTGTTTTCTTCTTTTTTTGTTTTTGTTTTTTTTTCAACATACTTACTGCATATAAAGTCATGCAAAGAAAACAGTGCAGACAGGCGATCCCCGTGGATGAGACACAGCATTCCAGATCAGAGCCAAGAAGAGGGAGAGAGAGGAAGAGAAAGAGAAAGGGAGGGAGAGAGAAGAGGGAGGGAAGGTGGGGGGGCAGGCAGGCAAGCGCACTACAGCGCTTGCCAGCCCAAGTTCAGCATGAAGTAGGAAAATAAGTTTCTGGTGCTCTGTTTTGTCCAAGTTAAGAGAAGCAATGAGGATACGTGCTCAGGAGGTAGTGGGGGGGGTGGGATGGGGAGGTGGCACAAAGATATAGGGAAAGAAGTCTTGGGAAGTCCAATAGTGAGGACTCCAGTCACAGAGATGTCAAATCTGGAGCTTCTCATCCTGGTGGCCTCCCCGGCCCTGACTTACTCATTGTATATTAGTCATGCTGGCCCTGGAAGAAATCCTGTCAGCTGACCGTGGGGACCAGAATGGAAGGCAGCTGTGCTCCCTGGGGGGGGGTGAGGCCACCTCAGAAAGGACCCCCCCCAAAAAAAAACCTGGAACGGAGTGAAAAATTCCCCTCACCCCTCTTCCCACTTCCCGACCCGATCCAACTCTTCTTGAGGTCTAGTTAGTTACACATACATATCCGTTAACACAAAATCCAGTTACGAAATACACAGAAGTTTGGCTGTAAAAAGGCATGCGTCCAAGTAGAAGATGATACCTAAGTGTTGTTTGCTTTGCCCCTGAAACACCATCCGATCTCCTCTCAGACGGAAGAGGCTGGAATTCTCCATGGACGTTGGAGGGCAGATTGGGCAGGTTAACACTGGAGGCAAACTTTGCAGAAGGACTGAGGCAGCGAGTGGGGTGCCTGAAGGGTAGAGCCCACCCCCTTCCCCATAGTGGATGGTCTGATGAGCCCAGGGCCAGCATAGGAGGGGAGCAGATGAGAGCGGCAGTTGGAGGCAGGAGCTCCTGGCAGTGGCTCCTCTCTTACTCTCTCCCAGAAACAGTTGGCTTGGAGACTGAGGGGGCTCATCTCTGCTTCCCTGGGGACCCCAGAAGAGGAGAGATCGAAGAGGGGGACCCGTGTCACACTTGCCCTCCTCTTCCTGGCTTCCTGGTAAACACACAGCTGGGGCCTCCTCACCTACAGTCAAAGCTAGGCCAGGCCAACAATAGTAGTTGAGGAGTGGGGGTTCCTGGGGCCCGCATCCTGGGTACCGAAGCCTGAAGAAGGTCCCCACTGGCAGGAAGAGGGTGCGGGTGAGAGTTGGGAAGAGCGGGCCATTTGCTTTGATGTTGCAGTGGCTTTTTTCGTGATGCCGGTACAGAGGTGACAATGGGGGGGGGGGCGCTGGGACAGGGAGAATTCCAACAAAATCCAAGAGAGAGCCAGCAGCCACATTCCACGGACAAAGAGTGGATCTCTGCGGTGCGACAACGCAGGGACCCTGGCCCGGTCCTTCAACTGTAAGACACAGTAAGTCCACCACCTTAGACGCGGTCACCGCTGCCTTCTAGGGTTTCCACCCACCTTCCCGCAGCATCTGTAGACCCAGAATCTCCTTGCTGGAGTCTTGTCACCCTCTCTGTAGATATTCAGAGGTAGAAGGCAGCAGCCTGCTCCCCTGGGCATGCCCCACTGCCCCCACCCCCACCCCACCCCAGGTCAACACCCTTAATATCCCCCTAGAGGTTTAGGAAGAAAGGATTCTTACTGGGGCAGGACGGAGGGTGCCCCCGATCTGTGGAAGTGGACAATCTGCCATTTGCCATCCCTGCGGTGCCAGACACGGGTCTCCTCTGACTGGGCTGTGCGGGGGATGCCACCCGCATCCAGGTACTGCGTGATGCGGATGTAGGCGATGCACGCTGACTCGTCGCCCATCAGATGGATGTGGGGGTTCAGGATGGTGGTGTGCACGGGTTTGCTGTTCCGGGACCACACTGGAGGCAGGGACGGGAGGGGCTGAGGCCATGCAACCCAGGGGTTCCTGCCTCATTCTTCATCCTGCCTCATCCTGCTCTCAGCTTCCAACTTCCCCTTTCCAGGGGGACACCTTTGCCTGACTCGTGCGCAGTAGGGGAATCTCTGGGACAGGGATCAGCTACCTGAGAGTCAAGGCAGAACTGCCATGTAACCTAGGTAACAGGATACCACCTCCCAGATAGGGTACAATGAACTTCAGACTTGCCAAATTGCTCAAACATAGGAGGAGTGGGATTTTAGAATTAGCACCTTGTACATACGAAAGCATGAATCCCAGACAATTTACTGAGCCAGGTAAGGTTGTTTTTTCTTCAACACAGATTCATACTGTGACCAGGCCAGCACTTAAATGGTAGAGGCTGAGCTGGGTATAAGATGATGGATAGCAACGGAGCTTCTATCTCTGGGTCAGGGAGACAGTAGAGAGTAAGGGGGACGGTGGTGGATAGAACACCTTGTCCCAGCTAGAGGGCACCCTGCCTATATATATCTCCTCTGGGTACCATGTGCGTCACACCTTATTGCTCCAAGGGAGTCTGGAAATCTGTCTGGATTTTCATACGGAAAGTCTTCACTTTTCACCGCTGTTCTATTATTCAAATGTAACACTGTCTGTAAACTGTATGAAATGTCTGTAATCTAGACATGCCCCACCCTGCTTATCAACTCTATTGTGATCTACTGAATTATAGAAACAGGGGGAAAGGAATTGTAGAATCTTCCAACCTTCAATTTCAGGGGGCTACGGGGACACAGGAAGATCTCGCTGTCATGACAACTAACCCGGAGTGCCTAGGAACGGTTCCCACCTCCAGTTTCAACATCACCGGAGTGCTTTAGAAACTCTCAAGTTGTTTATCAAGATATGAAACAGAAGCACAGAAAGACAGTGGCCCAGGGACAGACAGAGGCCTTCAGGTTCTCACTCTGACAAGAACCCTTGTATCCTCCCCTAGTGGAGCGCAAATATTGGTCACAACTGTGTCAACAGCTAGCCTCAAATGTGAAGTCTCCAATGCCACCCAAGACGCCCCCGTGTGAGACCCTGTAACACCATAATTTCCTCTCCATCCCTTACTCTAATTCCATTACCCAACAAAATGTGTAAACTGATATCCCCTGAAACATGTAAAATGGCTTTTTTTTTAGTCTGAAAAGAGCACCTGATGGTCCCTCCCGTTAGTGCTGTAATCATTGTGTGCTCACGCCTTCAATAAGCAAGTCTCAGAGAAGCAGAATAACAGATTCAGAAGCTCTCAGACACAGAAAATGTAAACCTTTAGAATAACCTTAGCGCAGTGGTTCTCAAACCTGTGGGTCATGACCCCTTTGCGTCAGCTGGCCCTTTCACAGGGGTCGCCTAAGACCATCAGAAAACACAGATATTTACATTATGATTTATAACAAGTAGCAAAATTATAGTTATGAAGTAGCAACAAAAAATAATTTTTTTGGTCGAGGGTCACCACAATATGGGGAACTGTATTAAAGGGTCGCAGCATTAGGAAGGTTGAGAACCACCACCTTAGAGGCTAACGATCACCAAGTTTCTCTTTTTCAAAGTGCATGAGACTTCCCTGAATGTATGTGAAATCATATATGAGGCTGGAAGCAATGTGTCCATTAATATGTATGGAAAATGAATCCAAAACCATTATCTAACTTGGTCAAAGTTGTTAATTCCTGGGGGGGGCGGGGGAATGAAGAAATCAAGCTCACAGTGCCTGGATTAGGACAATCCAGGTCCATTCCAGAAGGGACAAACAGTTTAGCATTGGAGGTGGGGGACAAGCTTTGCCGCTGTTGATTGTGGCTGAGATCCCAGGGACTCTAACGTGACACGGTGTTACTTGACCAGGTTAGTGTTTTCCAGGTTACCCTTCTTCTCAACAAGGTGGTGGTGTCAGGTGCTGGGCAGGAAAGGGCAGGCAGTGGGAGGAAGCTCTGAAGGGGTGAGAGGCTGAACTGAGTCACACCCCTGTGAGTCCTCCTTAGAGGTAACCAGAGGCTTAAGCATAGGGTCTAGGAGTCAGTGCTGAGGTAGCATCTGCCGCATGAGCAGACCAGAAACATGGACTTCTTTCTGCATTTGGACTCCTTAGTGGTGGTCCCCGCACCTGCACTTGCGCAGTCGAACTCTGCCCAGCTCTAGCGGACCGCAGCTGGGAAACAGCGCCCCCAGAGGACAGAGGTATAATGACAGCCAAGGCAATCCTCAAATGTAGGGAACTGGGCACAGGATGAGAGAGCCCAAGATCCAGCTTCTCTTACTAGAATTCAGTCTCCATCACTCAGCGTGGAGGATCCTGTCTGATTCTTTAAGGAAATGTAGCTTCTTCCCTTGCTTTTTTTTAAAGGAGGGAATACTTGGAACCTCAGTACTCGCTAAAATACAACCGAGGAGTGCAAACTCGGAGGTGGAGAGGCCTGCTGCTTTGCTGACAGAATGGGCCCTGTCAGCAAAAGAAAGGCGCCAGGTTGAGACAGAGCTAAATCTGCAGCTGGCTTTGTGCACTCTTTGGTACGAGTGGCTTCCCCTCTCTTGGCCGCAGTGGAAATGTCTTTCTGAATGACAGAATTGGGCTTCACCTTGAGTCGCCGCAGAACCACCTGCACTGAGTTTGTTAAACCATATGTGAGCACCATCTGTCCTTATTTCATAAAATGATTTTCCTGGTTAGCTTCATGATATGTTTACTGTATTTATTTTTAAGATTTTATTTTTAATGTGTCTGTGCGCTTGATGGGGGCAGGGAGGGACGGGGGAGTGGGGTGAGTTATATACAAGGAGCACAATGGCCTGCAGAAGCCAGAAGAGGGCGCTGGATCTTCTGGAGCTAGAACTCCAGGCAGTTATGACAGGGCAATGGGTGCTGGGACCTGAACCCAGGTCCTCTGCAAGAATTGGGACACACTCCTAGCCTCTGAGCCATCTCTCCAGCCCTAATGTGAATATTGTAAATAAGACTTCCCAGCACCAGCACCATCATTAGTGGACGATCAGCCACACAGAGCATGCGGGGAACAGAAAGTCCCGTGAGGAGAATATAGTTAGACCATTCCTGCCCCACATTCCTGCCCACAAGGCATCTGAACCTTTGAAAAAGGTCCCTGCCCTTTGAAAACGGAGGGAACTGGGAACTGTGAGAGAGGTGTGAGCTGAGTCCTCCTCTGCCTGAGAATTCCATGAGAATTAGCCAGGAAGGGCTTTCTTGCCGTTCGAGTCAATGCAATTCCAGGTGCCTAGAAATACCAGGAAGTCTGTATGTGGTTTATACCTGCCATCTGGGGCTAGGATCACCATACCACCCCCGAGATCCATCCTCCATATCCTAACCTTGGCTTGGTCCCTGTCTGACCCCGGCCTGGGTAAGACACAAACAAGCAGGAAGTTCATTAGCTCAGGCCCAGGCTCGGCACCCTGACCACCCTCGTTGCAAGCTTCTGAGACCTCTCCTGCAGAGGAGAGGCCCAGGAAGGACAGACACGCAGGACAGAGACCTGGACACACAGGCAGGGCACAGCAGTGTGAAATCCCTGGTCCTCCCTACCTACGAGGTCATATGTGTCACACCCCAGGAGCTGCTATGTCACCCGCTGGACAGCTGGGGTGGCCCCAAGCCTCCAGATGGCTGTAGCTAGCTAGCGGTGTGAGTTAGTGAAGGTTCCCTGTTTATCAGAGGGAACAAAGACCTGCCAGGAAACTCTCCCAGGCTAGAAGGCAGGAGGGGGCTAGGGAGGCTTATTGTATACGTCCTTTGTCTTTGGGGACCCACCCCGGCCTCACCCCATCCTCAGCCACAGGAAGGACAGCTGGCAGTCCAGCTCAGCGGGCAACCAATGAGGAGGGAACCAAGAAAGTACCAACCCCTGTCCACAGGGGCTCCTCCTCTTCACTGGCTCCTGAGCCGCCCCTGAGGCCCTGACCGTCACCCTGCTGTGCGGAAGGAGAGCAGACAACAGGCACCCCAGAGAGAAGGGATTGCTCACGGTTTTCAAAATAGAATCGATGAAAGTCCAGGCCCTCGACCAGGTTCCCCAGGGCCTCAGGTTCGAAGGCTGTCATGCCGGGATCACACATTTTCCTGGGGGAAGGAAACCAGAGGAAAGAGGGGCCTGAGAAGACCACACATCTCATCGTCCCCCCTGGAGGGCAGCAGCTGAATGGGAACGGCCAAGCCCTTCCTTGAGGGCTCAGCAAAGGAGGAGTTCACACAATGTGGCGTGTGGTCAGAACTGGAGGGTGCCGGCTACATCCAGGGAGCCCAAGTTCAGGTTCTGGTTCTGCCACTTACTGGTGAGAAGGTCCCCAGCAAGAGTGCCAGGGGGGTGAGGTGGCCATGCCGTACAGCCTGCTCCTTATTCTCCACACGGTACCCTAGTCCTGGCAGTGACCCAAAGGGGCTTTTCTCTTGGGTTGTAGGAGTGAGGTGCCTTTCCCTTTGCATAAAGTGACCTCAGCTCCCCAAGACAGGTGTGTATATGGAGGACGTGCATTTTAACAATTTGGACAAAATTACCCTATGTCTGGAAAACCCTGACTGTTTCCTCGGCTGTAAATGGGGGAAAGGAGCCTTAATGAAGGAGATGCCCATGAGGCTGGAGAGATGGCTCAGCAGTTAAGAGCATTGCTTGTTCTTCCAGAGGGCCTGGGTTCGATGGTGGCTCACAACCATCTGAAACTCTAGGCCTTCTTCTGGCCTCTATAGGTACCAGGTACATAGACATTCATGCAGGCAAAATGCCCGTATACATAAAATAATAAATTTTTAAGAAAGTGATGTCAAAGAGGAAGCAGAGGATGTGGCAGGGGTGGCCCTCAGCATAAGGAAGCTGTGTGTTTTCAGCTGATTGGTCCTTCCAGGTGTCAGTCTTCCTGAGTGACTGCTAGGCTGGGGAGTCATTTACATACCTGGAGGGTCTTTTCAAGTACAACAGAAACCCCTATGGCCATAGCAAAGAAACCAGGGACAGGAAATGCCCCCACACAAGCTAAGCTTCCGGTCCACAGGAGAACTGGAAATCTCAGAAGAGGACATCAGGCCCGGCCTTGCCTGCGATGAACAAAGACTTTGAGGTTCCCTCAAGTCTACCCCTGCTGCAGAACTTGGTCGTCTGGGCTCTCTGCATCCGTCAAGGACTAAGTGAATCATACAAATGTAGAAACTGAGGCTCAGGGAGATGAAGGGGCTAGTTCAGGAGCATGCCAGGGAGGCTCCAAGGCCATGGTAAGTTTCAGAGTCTTGAGCAGGATGAAAATGCCATCTTCGCCTGTAACATTCTAGAGGGACCCCCCAGAAAGGTCACCTCACTAGCTCTTTATTCCCTGGCTGTGGTTTTTCAGAGTCACCAACCTGGTGTGCCCTGACTTAACTTCTTTAGGGCTACCCAGAAAGACTGGCGACAGAGTCTGCTTCCATGCCTTGCTGCAGCATCCTGCTACACTCTGGCACACATCCCTGTGCACCTTCCTTGAGCATAGACTTATAGCTTGTGCACATACAGGTGCGTGTGCAAGCCTATGTATAGTATGTGAGGCCCCTGGGCTTTCACAGATGCCTCTCGGAGTACTTTGCCTCTCCAGAGAGAGCCAGTGACTTTCCAATGACTGAATTCAGTTCCCACGGTTAGAATGCAGCTTCAGGTGGCCTGAGATCACACCAGCCATGCTCACATTAACCCCACAGGCAAGGGTCACTCTGTCTTGGCTGGAAGTTTTCGCACACCAAAAAGCAGGTATTGGATTGCCAGGTCCAGGCCCCATCAGCCTTGGTCAAAATGCCAACGCCTAGACACCCAGAACATCCAATTTCTCTGGGCCAGGCAGAGAGAGAGAGAGAGAGAGAGAGAGAGAGAGAGAGAGAGAGAGAGAGAGAGAGAGAGAGAGAGAGAGAGAGAGAGAGAGCAGCAAAGGCGCAATGACCACTAGGGGGCGCTGAATCCCAGTTTATGCACACAGTCACCCGGCTAAGGGCTGGAGCGGGTGTGTGAACAGAGAATGTTTCGTTTCAGACTGTGCCTTATTCCCCAAAGGGTTTAAGGTTCACTTTGCTCACTCTTGCTCACGAATGGTGCACACCCTTTGGGTCCCTGCCTGTTCCTGCTCAGCTGAAGACCTCTGGAGATCCAGGAAAAGGACTCAGACCCACTGGGCAGGCTGGAGAAGGGCCTGCCTCCATTCCCTCCTTCCCACACTAAGGCACAGATCACCCTTCTTTTTTTGGGTGCGGGGAACAAAGCAGTTTTACTGGAGCGCCTCCCTGGATCAGGCTGGCAGGAAGAGGACCGTGTAGTGTCATGAGCACCGGGCCGAGGGGGACTCCATTCTCATTCACAGCACATGCAGAGAGCGAGTAGGCTCAGTTACCCACGGTTAGCACCCCCGAACCCGATCCAGGCAGAACATGCAGAAAGAGCCTGGCTGACTCACGTGTAGGACTCAAAATCTCCATTGCTTATGGCTTCAATCAGCTGTTCTGTCACTTTTATAATTTCCTGCTTGCGCACTGTAAGGTAGAGGGGGCACACAAATAACAACAGTGATAGTCATGAAGGACCGAGCACCAGCTTCCGAGTCCCCGACACGTGCCAGGCGGGCTCTGCGGCGACCTGACACTGTGCACAGACGAGCTCACCTATCCTTGTGCTGTCCCTGGGAGAGAGAGGTGGTTAGCTCCATTTCCCACAAGAGATTGAGGCTCAAAGCAGGGTGTGGGGGAAATGTAGTTCCCTGAGCTACAAAAGACAGAGGCATTGCCTCAGCTGGCAACCTTGGCCTCCAAACACCACAGTGGTGGACGTTGTGGACTTCAGACTCTAGGTATTGTTTGAAGCTAGGTTTTGACTACAAAATAGCCATCTTGATTTGCTGTGTGAATCCAAACAGTGCTGCATGTTGCTTGTCAATTGTTACAAACCAGGGCTCCCCCACAGGCAAACATGGGGACACAAAGGAAAGTCTTGGAGGTAACACATCTCTTACTGTCTGGGTAGTTTTTGCTCAATTTGAGTGACTATAAGATTCAGGCAGAGTTGTCTAGAAGCTTCTAGAATCAACCGCTTTCCCCCGTCTGACGCAGAACACCAAGAAGCTACTTTTCTGGTGGAGTATTAAATGCCAGTCCCCTTGTTAGATGGGCAATGGACTGGCCCTCAGCATTCCCACCCATGGACTAAGATTCACTCAGAGTTAGATGGCAGCGCCAAGAACTCAGGTCTCAATTCCAGACAGATCATCATCCTAAAACCACCTCAGAGCCTTACGGTCTGTGGCGGCTGAGGACCACAAGACTGACTGGCTTGTCAGATGGAGACAAAAGTGTCCTCCTCCCAGAGCTGGTCTGAGGGTGGGATGATGAGGTGAGCATGAAGCAGTGTCCCCAAGCCCTGCCCATAGCAAGTATTCGTGGTAAGCATAGCCTTTGCCTGCAGCCCACACTTCAGCTTGCCTTCCCTGCTCCTCCCAGACCCCTGGCAGGTAGGCCACAAGGAGAGGACTGACCCTCAATAAACAAGGAATCGGCAGTGTCCTGGTTCCCAGTGGAGCTGAACAGACACTGCCTTAGTCTAGGGCAGGCCCTCTTTCCCTCCTCCCTTCAGATGCTGTTCTCCCCCAAACCTGGCCACTCTATGGTTAGGCGGAAGTCACACTGTCTAAAAAGTGGGTCCAGCAGCTCTCAGCACCTCCCAGCCTCAGAACCAAGTCTGGGCGAATCTCTGACTCGCCCTTTTTCTTGTCAGCTGCCTATGCTGCCTTGGACGCTCATCTCAGACGCAGGGGAGATAGAATCTGAGGGCATCCAGGCTTGGGAACTACTGCAGGCCAGAAATCCAAACTTCTTTCTGGGCTACTGAGGAAACCGAGGCCCAGTGAAGGTCAACAACTTGCCCAAGGACGTGGAACATACGGTACAGTCTGGCTGACAGCCCAAAACCTTTTCTACAGGACCCTAGGACTTCAGCCCACATGATCGCACCCCACGTTCTCATAACACTAACTTCACACGGCTGCTTGGCACTCACTACCTAGCTCTACATTCGGTGCCAGCTAAAGGAGGTGGGGCTCGGGCTTCCTTGAAATCTGAAGCTAGCATGACCCTACGGGCTACCGTACGGACTAAGCACATGGGTGAGTGGACACTGTCATCATCAGGGACTTAGCCTGCGGAGTTTCAGAGCTTCATACCCATGCCACAACTGAACTCTCCCCACATCTACACCCGGCGTAGCCTTTGGCATGCAGTGTGTTCTTGGCAGAGGAAACAGTGTTCCAGCAATACAGCTGCCACGATGCCCTCAGCCAGCTTGCCCTGACTCTGGTTAGAATCTCCCGGGCTGAGAACGTCTATCAGATCCTGAGTGTCATCTGTCATGAGGGTTGTTCTCCTCCTTTCAGGGAGCCACCAGGGCAGAAGTTGTACCCAGCACACATATGTAGAGTGAATGAATGAATAAATGAGCAGATGGCTCCAAACCAGAGTCTGCCCTGTCTCTGGAATTGCCCAGGTTACCTATACACCTGTGTATAGGGGTTTCAGAACCTGGGCTCCTGGTCAGCCATTCCATCCTTTGTAAAAGCAGAGACGGGTCACGGGACAAGCGGGCTTTGCCAGCAGGGACTGCACCCCACCACCACCACGGGATCAGAGGGGAGGGTGCAAAACAAACCCACATGCTCCTGACAGGCTGTGAAAGATGAGCCCTTGCCTGTGCCCTGGGACCCTCCAGCATATCTTTGCATGAGTGTCTCCTGCTGGCTGCTTCTTGCTGCCTTCACAAAGAATGTGCCAAAGTGGTCCAGACCCTTGGCTTTGGGGTCAAACTCTCTAGGCTTGGACTGCGGTTCTGTTGCCTCATAGCTGCAAGGGACTACCTTGGAACAGTTTCTCCATAAGAATAATGGAGATATCGTAGTACCCACATTTTAGGGTTATTCTGAGGCTCGGTAGAAAGAGTCATCACATGCAACCCTACCTGGGAGCACCTGTGTTCCGAGCACCCAAGATCAATGCATCAGTTGAGTGATAGTGTCTGTACCCAAGCATTCAGAGAGCAAGGCCTGGCACTCACTGAGAGACGTCTGCACACTAGGGAACAGAAGCTTGGCCAAGCCCTGCCTCGAGGCTCCCAATGGGCTGTGAGCTTCCTGGAAGTCTGAGTCATGGGACACAGTCCTGCTGAAGTTAGAGGTGCTGCAGTAGCCACCAGTCTGATGACTATGGGTTTGGGTCCAGACTTCCAGGCTGAAGTCAGCCTCTGAAAACTCCTATGTGTAGGAACTCTGCCCCCAAGTAAACACCCATTCCCTAGTCTCTGTCCTTCCCTGGCCAGGTTTCTCTTCTCAGGAATGTGGTTTCCAGATCCACTGCAAGTTTGCATCTGTCCTCCAAGCTCCTGAAACTGTCTGAACATGTCTTGGTGTGACACGCACTCTCAGATGGTACAGTATCAGGTCTGGAGACAAACTGAACATTGCACCTCTATGAATTCGGTGCTAGGTGGGCCTGGCTTGGCTATGCCTTCAGGCATCAGGACACCAAGCTTTCTAAAAGTCAAAGCTACCAGCTCTAGCTTTGTTCTCTGTGGCAGAAGACCGGACTGGAGGCTGGTGCCTGTGGACCTGAAGGGCACTCTGACAGGGGCCCTTCCCGGGACTCCAGCAACCCCGACTGCTTTGCAAACCGCTTTCTAGATGTTGGCTAGTCTCCTCACCCAGATGTTCTATAATATTCCTCTACAGACAAGAAAACTGAGGCCCCAGACATATTAAGAAAACCTCTTGGTCAGGTGGTGGTGGCACACACCTTTAATTCCAGTACTCAGGAGGCAGAGGCAAGTGAATCTCTGTGAGTTTGAGGCCAGCCTGGTCTATAGAGAGAGTTCCAGGACATTCAAGGCTACACAGAGAAACCCTATCTCAAAAAAACAAAATGAAACAAAAACAAAGAAACTCTCTTAAGCTCACGCAACACACTGATGTGTGTTGGGGCTTGCATTCCTAACTAGTACTTCCTAATGTCTACCCAGCTTCTGGCAGATGCTCTTTAACCTGGAGGGAGGATGGATTGCACGCAGAGGCAAGGGCATGGGGTAAAGCCTAGCAGAGTCTGGTATGGCTCATAGATTGGGGGCCCTGCTAAAGCTCTGAACAATTCCTGTCCTTACTTCCTGCCAGGGATGTCGTTCTGACAAACAGCACTTCCAATTAACTGTAACACTGGGTCAGAGTTCACCAGACTGACTACTATTCTCACTTGGTAAGAAGACTTTACAGGCTAACTCCAGAAAACAGCGTCCCACTCTGGGAGCTCCCTCTGTGCCGGAGGGGCTGGTGGCTGGAGGCTGGGTTTAAGGGCTTTGCTCTGCTCTTACAGGGGCACGCTTTTCAGAACACTGCGTCACTGGGCCTTTTGTGCACGAGGAGGGAAAGCTAGGGCAAGGAACAAGTCCCCAAATCGTCAGCTGGTAACCATGATGGCTAATCTTGATGAACAGACAGGATTTAAAATTACCACAGAAGCACACCCTTGAGTGTGTCCCTGAAGACATCTCCACAAAGGGCCGCTTGAAGAGGGCAGGTTCACCCTGAATGCGGGCGGCATCTTTCCATGACTGGATGACCGAGAGGAAAAGGTGAGCCAAGCATGGGTATCTGCCTCTATTTCCCAACTGCAAATCCAGCATCTCCAGCTGCCTTATGCTCCCACGGCCATGGCTGCCTACCACAATGGCCGATGCCCTCAAACTACGAGCCAATATAAACCCTTCCTTAAATTGCTTTTGACAGACTACTCGCCACAGCAACAGGAAGAACTGCTAACACCATAACCCACGTGGGCCTTCCCTCCTTCTGTAAAAGGTAAAGAAGCAAATTAAAATCCGAGACAAATTGTTCCCCGGATCCCTGAAAGCGGAGGAGGTTGTTGGCAAAAGCGAGGCCTCGCGGCACAGCCCAGAGCCACCATCCAGGTGGAATAGATCACCGACAGCCCCTATTTTTCATCACCAGTGCATACACATTTTGTATTCTATTCCAAATAGTCTGTCTGTTTAACATATAAATATTTGTCTTAAAATAGTCTTTGAATCAAATTGACACTCCAAGAAAATGTCATGGGGCTTACTGTCACTCAACCACGAACTCCAGTTTGGAAGAAAAAAAAAAAAGAAATGAAGATGTCTTCCAATAACCACCACATGTTAAATGCTGCACGGGGACTGAACACGCAGCTGCCATTTCACCTGTACAGGAATACCAGAAGATGGTGCTAAAGGACGCTGAGACTCAGAGAGGTTGAGTAAGTTGTCAAAGGTCACTCAGCCAGTGGGGTAAGGAACGGAAGTCACCTCCATGCCCTCTATGTGCCCTGAGGCCAGGAATAGAATCGAGTCACCTCAGAATCCCAGAAGCCATCTCTTCACACTGGGGCAGAGAATCTCCCATATGGTAAACATCTAAGAAGCAACTCAGTCTGCCAGAGACCTGTGACCTGAGGTAGGGCTGGGCATGTGCTAAGGACAGACTCATGCAGCCGACTAAGAGGATGCTAGGCTTCAGTTCTCTAAGAGAAGGCATTGGTGAGGCTACCATGGAGCCACGACAGAGCACCAATTTACCAGCACCAGGCTGCATCCCCTATCAGTTCGGGGATGGCCAGGAAGGACATCAGCAGACAGACTTTCTCCCAGGTGCCTGCAGGATCGGAAGGCGGTCATCCTGTGTGGAAACTGCCTGCAAGCCTTCATTGCACCCCGCACCCCATTATGACATTATAAAATGCTTCTCATATAAACACAATCTTTTTTTTTTCCAGTTAGGGATCAAACCCAGGACTCCTACATGTTAGGCAAATGCTATCACGAAGCCATAATTCTTGCCCTACTGTATATTATTTCACAGTAAAAATATCTAACCCCCACCCCCCCAAAAAAAGTCTCAACTAGTACCGCTGAGATTCCTCCAGACCAGTAATCTTTTTTTATATTTCAGCAACCCCTTCCCGGAAGGGCATCTCTGGCCCCTTCCCCAGCATGCAGATGCTGAGGGCTCTCGTTTCCCTGGCCTGGGAAATGTAAGGGTGCCAGTGCAGGTGGTACCGTGGGGCTTTGCTAACTGTCAAGGATCTGTGTTTCCCAGGCAGAATCGGCACACATGTCCTTCCCAGAACACCTTCCCAAGGCCTCCAGTACACTGTCTGCTGGCCAGGGTCCAGGTGCAGACTGCCTGGGTTCTGATCCCGACCCCACCTTGAGCCAGTTTCCCCAAATTCTCTATCCTGTATTCTAGCCTGGAGAAGAGGACTCATGGAAGGGTAAGTGTGAGGCTATGGAAAACCTCAGGTCAATGGTTCTCAACCTGTGGGCCTTGACCACCTTACGGGTCATATATTAGATATCTTGCATATCAGATATTTACCTCATGATTCATAACAGCAGCAAAACTACAGTTATGAAGTAGCGGTGAAATAATTTTATGGTTGGGGGAATCACCACAGCATGGGGAACTGTATTAAAGGGTCACAGCGTTAGGAAGGGTGAGAACCATGGCTCTAGGTCCCCTCTTTTCCCACTGTGAAGAAATGTTATTCTCTGCAGTGTTCTGAACAAGAGCTATGCAGTACAGTCATAAAAGTTTTTTTTAAAAAACAATACAAATTTTAAAAAGGTCACTTTGGGGGCTGGAGAGATGGCTCAGTGGTTGAGAGCACTGACTTCTCTTCCAGAGGTCCTGAGTTTGGTTCTCAGCAACCACATGGTGGCTCACAACCATCTATGATGAGACCTGGCGCCCCCTTCTGGCGTGCGGGCACACATGGAAGAAATGCTGTACACATAATAAATAAATCTTAAAAAAAAAAAAAAGGTCACGTTTTGGGGCTGGAGGGATGGCTCAGCAGCTAAGAGAACTGGCTGAAGACCCAGGTTCAGTTCCCAGAACCCACACAGTGGCTTACAATCGGCCATAGTTCCATTTTCCGAGAGTGCAGTGACCTCTCCTGGCCTCCGAGGACACCGGACATGCACTTAGTGCACTGATCCATGAGAGCAAAATGTTCATACACGTAAGATTAAAATGCATGGATCTTTTAAAAGATGTCAGGTTTTAAGTAAGTTTGCGACTTTATGTTGGGCTGTGTTCAAGGTTAGCCTTGGCCACAAGTACCCTGCAGGCTGCAGTTTGGACACATCCACATATCGGTCCATGTATAGGTTTAGCAAGTGTCAGTGAACCAAACACGGCTCTTGCTATTTCTTTTCTCAAGACTCCCGCTCATGCGGGGCTCTTTGCTCCCTTTTTCATCTAATAGGTTTTGCTACGAGCCCAGGTTTCAGCATGCTGGCTTCAGCTCCTGCTTTTTTTGCCGGCCGCTCACGCACTGAGACTACAGATACACCTTCCTAGCTGCCTGCTGATCTGGGGCGATCGGGGCGCTTCTGAAAACAACAGGCCCGGAGCTGCAAAACCCCTGCATCTTTAGTTTTGCTGGTCTTTGGTTTTGACTTCACTTTCCCCAGTTGACTAAACTTTCTGGATTTTTGTTCTCTGTTTCTTTATTCTTATTGCTCCATATTTTAAAAGTGAAGTCAGTTAAAAAAATAAAATAATTTATTTCTAAAGTAAAATTTATGCCACCCCTGTGTATCTATGGCTTAAATGTTATTTTTTTTTCCTCTGATAGGTAGTGAGATAAATCCATAAGCTAAGTACCCCCAGTGCTGGGCACTGTCTGGGGAAGTCATGCCCACAATATGTCCTGGTTATCAGAAGTCAAATCCAGGCTGTAGCAGTGGAACAGCGGTGAGGGTCTGCTCAGCAGGCCAGGCCTCCCTACCTTTGGTGTCTTCATCCTCGATGGTGGTATTGGTGCTCTCGGAAGATTCCTGTCAAAGAGAAGAGGGAGGCGGTGAGGAGGGCCTGGCGGCAGGAGGGGTTGGGTTGGGTTGGTGACCTGGCTGCCTGGCTGCCTGGTGAGTCACTGAGCTCTGTGGCTTCCCAGGCTATGCGGTCCAGATGCTTAATACAAACCCTGCCAGAGCCTTCAGTCTGAGGGGACCCAGCTAAGCAGGTGGCTGGGGCAGGGCCCGTATGAAGCGGTAACCTGCAAGGAGATCCCTGGCCTCTCAGGAGGGCTGAGAGGGGCTTCCTGGGTCCTTTCTGCTCAGGGGGCAAAGACGGGATACAGAAGAGCAGAGAGACACCATGGGAGCCACAGAATGGGGGAGGAATACACACACTGGCAGGAAAAAGAAGAAAGAGAGAGGCAGGCCCAGTGGGAGAGAGGGTGGGCTTTTCAGAGGGGAGAAAAACCGCGCAACTGAGACAGCCATAGAACCAGAAGAAGAGGGGCATGGGCCACCATGTCACCCCTGGCACTCTTGACAGAGGCAGGGCTGTGGTTCTTCTGCTGGAGTGGCCTGTACAAGCTCAAGGAGCCTCCATGATGCCTGCTGCTTTGGCCAAACCGAGCCTCGCCCTAGCAGCAAATTGCACAAACCAAGCCTTGAGATGAGCCCTTGAGCAGAGGGGTGGGAGAAGCAAGAAGCCAAGGGCTGGACTTGGTTCAAATCCACCTTTGGACTGGAGGAAGGCCTTGGATCTGCTGTTGGCCTGCTGGTCTGGGCCATGGAATTGGAGGTGTCAACAGAAACACGCGAACAACACACACACAACACACACATATTGTCACACAATGCACACATACCACACATGCCCTGAGCACTCTCTCCCCGCCCCGGGTTCCTGTGCAGCCTGCAGGAGGGAGGCAGGAGCGAGGGAGCGAGGGTCTGAGGCCCAGCATTTACCGGTGTTTGGGAGACGGCGGACACTCACCATTAACTGAACGCTGGAACTGGACTTTCTTTTCTGGAAAAACAAGGAGAAGAGATGGGACAGGAAAAGACACCGCATGAAAACAGCAGGGAGGTTAGGAAGCAGGATGGCCTCAGGGCCGTCCTCTGTGGTCCTTTCCGATCAGCAACATGTGGCCTGGTGAATTCTGGGTCCTCAAACGCCTGTACCTGTCTCTACCAATCTAACATCATCCAAGTTCAAGGCCAGGTCTGCCTTCAAGTAGGGCTGTCTACTATGCCTTGCTCTGACAGGGAAGTTAGTCTTGGCTCTTAGATGCTGACTGTCTGTTTGTTTTTTAGGGGACAGCAGGGTGCTCAGAACTGGACATGAGCCCCAAATTCTCCATGCATTTCTATTTAAGCAGACTTAACTCCAGGCAACCTGCCACTGGGGAAACTTGCTTTGTTTTTGTTCCTTCTGAAACCCAAGGCCTTATTATACCAGCAAGCTCTCTGTCACTGAGCCCTACACAGAAGCAGGTCCCCTCCAAAGACTTTGATTAAGTCTTCATGGGACTGGTCATGTCCACTTTCAAGAATATTCTCAGGTGACCCTGGGGGCACCTTTCTGTTCATAACTTCACATAAGTGTGTTCTTTGGCTCCTTTATGCTGATAGAGGAACTGAGGTATGACCGGAAGTCTGGATCCTGCGTCTAGTGGATCTGCCGGTTGGCCTGATCTTATCTTTGTGGACCATACCAACCCTGTGTTAGCTCTGGGGTCCAGGACGGAGGTTGGGACAATGTGGGCTGCTTCTCCTTCACTCAGTTCTCATAGCCAGGTATTTGAAGACTTGCTCATAGAGCGATACAGGTCCTGAGTGACACTTACATCCAAAGAGGAAGATTGGGAACCCTGAGAGGGCTCTCTCAGAAGTCAATAGCTATGCTAGGGGAAACAGAGGTGCTGGGCTGGGGGACAAGGCTGCATCTGTCCAGGACCCCAAACTGGCTCCTCTTAAAGGCTCGTGCTACCTTAGATACCTCCCTTCTGAGAGTTAGGAGCCCGTTGCCTAAGATCCCAAGAAGAAAGTAAAGAAGAGACTTAAGACCTTTCCAGGGTCAGCCTGATCTACAATAAGCACTGGATATGCTATAAGAGACTCAGGTTAGATTTGGGGCTTCCTGCTTTTATAGTCCAGTAGGTATTTGCATGCTAGGGCCTAAATGTGTGCCTTTTAACCAGAGCCTCCTTGCTGGACATTTCTATCTCGTGTATTCAAGAGGCACGAATGCCCACCTTCCTAGGTGGCTGGGGAGTGTGGCTTCATTGTAAAACTCTGCAACTGCTCCTCCTCTCCTCTCCTCTCCTCTCCTCTGCTCTCCTCTCCTCTGCTTTGCTCTCCTCTCCCTGCTCTCCTCTCCTCTCCTCTCCTCTGCTCTCCTCTCCTCTGCTCTCCTCTGCTCTGCTCTGCTCTCCTCTCCCTGCTCTGCTCTCCTCTCCTCTCCCTGCTCTGCTCTCCTCTCCTCTGCTCTCCTCTGCTCTCCTCTGCTCTGCTCTGCTCTCCTCTCCCTGCTCTGCTCTCCTCTCCTCTCCCTGCTCTGCTCTCCTCTTCTCTCCTCTGCTCTGCTCTCCTCTCCCTGCTCTGCTCTCCTCTGCTCTGCTCTCCTCTCCTCTGCTCTCCTCTCCCTGCTCTGCTCTCCTCTCCTCTGCTCTCCTCTGCTCTCCTCTCCTCTGCTCTCCTCTGCTCTCTTCTCCTCTGCTTTCCTCTGCTCTCCTCTCCTCTGCTCTCCTCTCCTCTCCTCTCCTCTGCTCTCCTCTCCTCTGCTCTCCTCTGCTCTCCTCTGCTCTCCTCTCCTCTGCTCTCCTCTCCTCTGCTCTCCTCTGCTCTCCTCTCCTCTGCTCTCCTCTCCTCTACTCTGCTCTCCTCTCCTCTATGCTGGCCTCCCTCCATGGCTGCAGCTTGGCCATTCTGTGTGGGGAAGGGGGACAGGTCCATACAGCTCAGCTGTCAGCAGAAACCCAAGGAGACCCACATGGGCCAGAAGGTTCCAGGTGGAACATGAAGAGGAAACACAGAGCAGAGACTGCATCAGATTCGGACGCACAGTGACAGGATGGGACACGGGGAAGAGGTAAACAACAGCACGGATGGGACGCCAACAGGGCAGTGAGTGCGGTGAGGGGAGGGAGCAGTGGGCGCCTCCTACGAAGGAGGCCAGGGCTGGACACCGCTCCTTGAGGACAGGGGTTCTGTCTCCTAGAATGACAAATGAGGGTGACCATCTTCCTGCTTGACCAGCACTTGCGGGTTGCACGGAAAGGGGTTCTGTCAGCAAAGGTAGAATTGCCTTTCTTAGAACCACAGACAGAAGCTGGTTCCAAGGTCAGCAAGGGATCCAGAACAGCAGCCTAGTCAGTCTCAGCCCTGAAGAGATCGTAAAGGCTCAAGAAGTTCCTGTCACTCGGGCCGAGCAGCCCTTCCCTCGGCGACAGAACAGACCACATAGCCTCTCCATTAAGCTCCGCATGGAACCGTTCATCTCTCAGCACACAACTGTAGAAAGAGCACAGATTCCCCTTCCCCTCAAGCTGCGTGTGCCTCTCTACATGACGCAAATCCCAGGGGTTGCTCTGGTGAGGCCATCTCACCAACCTTTGGAAACAGCTCTCTAGTCTCCTGGTAGAGATGGCAGAACCAGGACCAACCCCTGGGAAGAGGGAACAGCAAGGCCCGCATTCAGCCCCATGGCTTTTTGACTTGAGGGTTTGAGAGAATGGAACCATCAATTCCCCAAGCCACGGAGGAGCAGGGCACCCCCAGCTGTTCCCCAAGTTACAGGCAAGACCCAAATTACTCCTCCCTCTTTCATTTCTAGGAAAGGAAGGAGGATGAGCTATAAAGAGGTGATTGGGCCAGGGACAACATTTGAGTTTCTCTTCATCCACATCTAGGCCACCTTAAGAAGTCACTTAGGGTGTGTCTTACCCTGAAGGAAGCAGAGACATTTTTGCCAGTTGTGCTCCCTGGAAAGCACCCTGGTGGCAAGCAGAGCATCGTGCTGTGAGTTCCTAGCCTTGGCCAGTCCTACCTGCTGCCTCTGTCCAAGAGCAGCTGGATCTGAAGATTCAGTCCTGACCCTGGCCCAACACGAGCCTCTCCTGACCCCAAACCCAGTGTCTCTTCAGCAATCTGCCAGGGCCAGTCTAAGACCCAGGCAAACCAGGGCACCTCAATTCAGCATCTATACATTGTGGGTGGAGAGGGTCCCCAGCTGCTTTAAACCCGCAGCCCCATGTAGTATGTCCCTCTAGCGCCGGTCTCAGGTTGGCAGCAAGAGTTGGCTCAAGGACACTCAGACGGCAGGCCAGAGCCAACCGCAACATGTTTGTTAATTCTATGACAAGCGTGTGTTAACTTTTCGTCTGAGGCGTCCAAGGGTTTTCTTGAGCAGACTCTGTTTTCAAGAGAAAATGAAGTCTGACCCACAAAACAGAAGGTATTTCTGTTTCAGTGGCTTCTTAGGCATACGAGCGCTGTTCACGCTCTGAATGTGTGTTAGCCCCGCTGGTCCTCACAGCCAGCCAAGTGGGAGGGAGGAAAGGAAGCACAGCCCAGGACTTGAACCAGCCAAGCCCCAGCTGTCAGTAACCCACTCTGTTCTTTGACCCACCATGATAACTTTGACATGAAGTTGTTGAGACTGCAGGGATCCCAGGACCTCAGAAACTGTGTCTTCTCCTTTCTAGTCCCCGTCATCTCCGTCTGCTGCCAGAGGAACCTCCCCAGAATATGTGGGTCCAAAGAATTCATTTTGAAAAGCATTGGTTGTTTTTCTAATAACCAAATAACTATATATAGTCATGTGTTTCTTAATGACAGGGATATATTCTGAGAAATGTGTCATGAGAAATTATGTCACTACACAGGCAGCATACAGTGACCTTAGGGCGTACGATATCTCTAGGCTCTAAATCCACACAGCACGTTACTGTACCAAATCCAGTACGCATCTGTAATACATGGCAAGTACCGTGCACCTAAGCCAATCTAGGCAGGTCTAAGTATGGCAAGGGCCTGGCATGGCAGTGCACACCTGTAATTCCAGCCCTGTGGAGGCTAGGCCAAAAAGATGGAGTGCTTGAATCTGGTTCGGGCTGCATGGGTGAGATCCTACCTCAAAAAAAAAAAAAAAAAAAAAAAAGGAAAGGGAAGAAAGAGCGGGGGAAGAGTATAGTAAAACTGCTAGGCAATAGCAAGTCCATGGCTCCGCTGTGGTCTGTGAGGAACGCCAATGCATATAAAGTCTGTCGCTGACCAAGCATCATTCCACAGAATGTGGCCACAGCCCTCAAACACACAAGATGAGAAGGGAGAACAGTTAGATATGGGAGAAAGGCTGCTCTTCGGTATGTTTTCAGAGCTGAAATCTTAGAAATTATCACCAAGTCCACATACCACCTGAGGCACCTAAGAGAACCTCGGGTGGAAAAAGCGATGGGCAAAGGGGAAGCCCAATTCTGGCCGGACACCCAGCCTAGAGTCTCCCCCATGCAGTCCCAGGCAGTCCGTAGCCATTGTAATCAAAGCGGTGCAGCCGCCAGCACACGCTGAATGGCCTGGGTGGCCATTCAGGACCTCACACCATCTAATGTCCTGGGTAAGTGGGTGCAGAGTTCAGAATAAGGCAGTCTCCAGAGATGAGACCCCGTGAGGCAATCAGATAGCGGAGGAGGAAGGGCTGCAGAGAGCAGAGGGGCTAGGCCCCCCGATAGCAGAGCGAGAAATGAGAAGAAACAGGAAAGAGGGGCCAGCTAGGTAAGGAGAGAGGTAGGTTGGGCACCAGGGGTGGGGACAGGGGATAGGCATGGGTGGGGACGAGGGCCTTCTGGATCCCAAAGCCTGGAGAAATAGCTGCCCATTCTCCACGGGTTACAGGCTATGTTAGTGTACGCAGTTCAGAGCCCAACCAGTCCCTCACACTTGGGCAGGATGAGGTCACCTTAGTGACCATTTCTGTCCCTTTTGGACCCTCTTGTCACAGTTGTCCATTCCCATAGAGCCCCAGAAGCCTCCTCAAGCCCCCTTTACTGAGCTCCACGCAACCCAGGCCACCTGCCATCCCCAGTTTGCTCCCATGTAAGAGGCGGACACCAGAGCACAAACTAGGTGATCTGGGGAGAGCTTGGCCCTGGACCTGACATGTCACCGTTAGTGAAGCCAGGACTTGCCCAAGGCCTGACAAGCAGGTCTCTGCCAGAGACAGGCCTGCAGGCTCCGGGGGTGGACTTACCTTCACACCATCGTTCTTCTTGTTTCCTCCGCTCTTCCCTCCTGTGGAGGAGAGAAAGTAGAGCGTTAGTAACACCAAGCACGGCACCAAGGCCCACAGGGTAAGGAAGAGCAGCATTTGCGTGCAGCAGAGCGGCCGGCTGGGCTGGCCGAGAGTAGCGGAGGGAGGGTCGGCTGTCTGGGAACAGAGCTGGCTTGGCGACCAAAGAGAGACTTCCTCCTCCTTCCTCTTGTCTTCCACCTTCCACTCCCTCTGCCACAGTCCAACAGAGCGGGCCTGTGATCCCCAGTTCTCAGCGATCTCGGGGATAGCCCTGTGACTTTGGGGCTTGGAGAGGTGTCCAATGCGTCTCGGGACTGTCGGGCTGCTGTGTGAGCCTGGGGATTCCCTCTGGATTCCTGTCACCAGGGCTGTTGGTGGCCAACTCAGAGAGGCCTGCAGCCTGATTCAGGGCTGGAAGCTCCCTGCTTTGGCCCCCACCTGCCCCGGCCCTCTCTAATTTTAGTCCCATGCTGTTGCTGAGGTCATGTGTCAGCCCTGCCTACTCACTCTGGACAGCTGCAGACTGCATTTTGCTGGTGACAAGAAGCAGACGTCCCCTGCTGGGGCCCACCCCTGTCAGAATGTTCATTCTCTGCCTTTCTTCTCAGCAGGACAGGGCCTAAGTTCAACCTCTGGAATCTCACTCTCGGGCTGGCTGAGTCCTGGCAGTAGCCATGCTCTCTCACAGAGGCTTGGACCATGCATTCCCCTCCCCCACTATTTCCTGACTGCAGTGGGCATGAGCCAGAAGGTAACACGAATGCCCAGTCCTGCCCTGACTGGTATTCGGTCACTTCAGACCTTTCAAAAATGCCTTAAATGGCACACGTTTTTGTGACGTGCTTAGCACAGCATTCAGGATATATATAGTTGGCCCTCTATGACATTTATGACTAGTTCTTCTCCAGGGAGCCCCACGAGGGTAAACTAGGGATGGGGGTGAGGGCCTTGAGGGTACAGGACAGATGCCCCAGGGGCTCTGAGGGATGAACTCACAGATGCCCCAGCTCTCAGTCCCTCCATAATTCCCCCTGTGACCTCTCGAAACTCCCAAGGGGTGGAGGACGTTTCTGTGTGCCAACCCTGAAAGGACTGGTATCTGTCTCCCCAGACCATGCAAGTGGGACCAGAATGCACAGCAGGGAACAGTGTTCACCTTGGAGACACTCCGCTCCGCCCAGTGTTGGACAGGTTTGTACCCAGTGTAGCCAGACCTTAATTTTATTTTCTTTACAGAATAGACCCAGACTGGCCTTTATTTACTGTGTGACCTTCCTCATGCCTCCATCTCCTGAACCTTGGATTACAGCCATGTGCCACCACACACAGGTGATGTGGATTTTTTTTTTGTTTGTTTGTTTTGTTTTGTTTTTCCAGACAAGGTTTCTCTGTGCGGTCCTGGCTATTCTGGAACTCGTTCTGTAGACTGGGCTGCCCTTGATTGTTATTTGGTGCTAAAGGAGAAAGAACTCAAGACTTCAGTCTGGCCGTGGTGGCATATGCCTTTAATCCCAGCACTGGGGAGACAGAGACCAGTATATCTCTATGAGTTCAAGGCCAATCTGGTCTACACAGAGAAACCATGTTTTGGAAAAATAAAACCAACCAACCAAACAACAAGAACTCAAAGCTTCGTGCATGGTAGGAAGATGCTTTACAATATAAGCTACATTCCCAGGTTCCAAATTTTCGAAAGATCTCAGAAATCTCTCTCTCTCTCTCTCTCTCTCTCTCTCTCTCTCTCTCTCTCTCCATAATCTCTTGATTGTGTGTGTGTGTGAAAAAGCTGATCTGTGTCTGTCTGTGTGCACATGTGGGTGCTAGACACTAATGCTGGATACCTCCCTTGGTCATGTTCTTTCTTTTTTTTGGACAGGGTCTCATTACATAGCTCTGACTAGGACTTGCTATGTAGACCAGACCAGGCTGACCTCAAACTCACAGAGACCCACCTGCTTCTCTGCCTCCTGAGTGCTAGGATTAAAAGGGGGAACCTTTTTAAACCACCAGTTTCCCTTGTGTTTTGAGACAGGGTAGCTTATCGATCTGGGACTAGTTGGCCAGCTAACCTCGTCTCTGCCAGTGTCGGGATTACAGATAGGCATTGACACATTTAGCTTTCCATGGGTGCTGGGGATCTGAACTCAGCTCCTTGTGATTGCCCAGCAAGCATATCACCCACAGAGCCATCTTCCCAGCCCCCAAATCTTTGATTCTTAATGATTAGAAATATATTTCCCCAAACTTTTTACTTTTCTTTCTCCTCTTTCTCCTGTTCATTTTTGTATTGGAAACCAGTCAGGTCCAAAAATTCTTCTTATTCTCCAAAATTTTATTTAACTATTTGTGTGTGTTTGTGTGAATTTACGTGTACCACATGTATACAGGACCCCCATGAATGCCAGAAGAGAGTATTAGATTCCCCTATAACTGGAGTTACAGGCAGTTGTGGGCTTCCATGTAGGTTCTGGGAGCCAAGCCTGGGTCCTATGCAAGAGCAGTAAATGCTCCTACCTGCTGAGCCATGTCTCCAGCATTCCTCTGCCACCCTCAAACAAAACAAAACAAAACCCACTTCTCTTACACAGCCCTGGCTTACCAAGCCATGGGCCCCTGTTCTTGAGCTTGAAACTGCTATTCTCCAGGGTGCTATCATTGTAAAACAGCAAAACAAAACAACCCCTATCTGTGCAGCTCAGCTTCCAGTATTCAGCGAGAGGACCACTTCTAAAGCTGGGTCTTCTCCTGGGTCATCACACAGGCAAATCCTGCTAGGGGACCCAGGCCTGCGCCCTACTCAGAAGTTACCCCTGGCTGCAGTTGGCCTGTCTGTGTGTGCAGCTGTCTGTGCTGGCCCAGCCTCGGTGCCAGGGCCCCTCCAGTGAGCTCTGCCACTTCCACTGTCTGTATCTGAGTCAGCACCCAGGACTCCCTAGGGAGAGGCCTGAAGTGGTGCAGGCCCGCCCCTGACCCGTGTGCCAAGAGGAGTCGTTAAGCTCTGACAATAATCCCTTTTCCTCCTGTTTGAAGCTACATGCCCAGGACTTGGCCACTCCCTGCCTGGGAGTCTCCCGCCCTGGGTTGCTGGTAACCCAGCTTGGATAAGAGCATCTGCCCTGAGTTGGTCAGACCTATGCTGAACACAGGGTCAGCCTCTCTTGAGTTCTGAGACCTGGTAGGAGACAGACCACGCTTAAATTTTTGTCACCCCATCTGGGGATAAAAGGGAAAGGGTGTCACCCCACTGCCGTGTTGTGTTCAACTTGAGCTGAAGCCAAATGCCTGTTGTATACGGCTCTAACATCAGCATCTCCTAAAGTCTCACTCCTTCCAGCTGGACCAGACTGCAATAACTGTCTCTTCCTCTAGTGGCCCAGCCTGAGAACCCCAGTGCTGCTGTGGGCTGGAAAACCAGACTGAACCTCTAACCAGGCCTCTGTTCACTGACTTTTAACCTCTTCTTTCCTTTCTCCGTGCCGATTGTGATGGGTTAACAAAGCCTGGACTGCGGTATCTTCTGCAGCCCTGTCTCTGGGGACACCCGGCTACCCAACAGTGTAATGGCATCCAGCAGGCCAGTGCAGGATGGACCGGGGACTCTAGCCCCACCACCTACCGGAGAAGTTCCTGGTGGCCAGCATAGTGGTGAGGATGGCTCCCTGCAACAGATAAGATGGGCCCGAGAAGAGGCACAGGTGAGGGGAGGAACATAGGCAGGAACAGAAGTTACATTGGGGGAAGAACAGGCAGTGTGGCCTTCAGAGACAAACCAAAGCCCCTGCCCCTCCATGTGACCCCTCCCTACCCTCCAGCCCAGAGCCCATCTGCTCTCCCTGGAGGAGCAGCTTTGGCAGGCACAGTTCTTGAGATACGAGCAGACATTAATAGGTCCCACGGTCTAGACAAAACTAATGGACACAAGAACACTCGAACAGGGGCTCCTAAAGGCTCCGGAAGTTTCTTGTGCTGCTAGGCTTGGAGAATATGGCTCTAGAATCAGTTCTTCCCTCCACGGCCCCTGGACCATAGCCAGGATATCAACTTGGAGAAGCCGTTTCTGTTGGTGAGGGGCTGGAAACCAGGGCCCGACTGCTCCTTGTGGTGTCTCATTAGGACCTGACTAGACCATCTCTTGAATCCAACAGCCCCTCAGGTTAAGAATCCCTGATTCCCACACTGGGAAGCTTCCTTCTCCGGGGACAGTTGCCAGTGGGGTGAGAATGACTCGGTGTCCCCGACATCGTGCCAGTCATGACGTCGTGGGCTTCCATTCCAGGTCTGGGAGCAGTAGGTAAGGGAGTTGCCAGTGAGTCAAGGCCTCCACATCTGCCCTCGCTGTCCCCGTCGGACACACTGACAGCTAGCTATCCTAGAGAAGCCTTCTTAGCTGACTGAGTACAAGACCTGCTGAGAAGGCTCAGCTCAGGATCCACTTTGATTCTACAGTGGCTTTCACAGGCCCCCCAACCTATCTCTAATGGACTCATTCATTCTTCCTCCATGCTGGGGTTTTCTCTCTCACACACACACAAGTGTGGTATCATGTCTGGTCACATGTTGCCCCCCTCCCACGCACACAAAAACACAGCCTCTCTTAAACCATCTGTGGTCCCCTAGAGAGTGGTGCTCCCTCTTGCAGACATCTGTACAAACCGTCGCTCCATCTGGATCATCTCCCCCCTGCCACTCTACACCCATTCGTCCCCAAGAGTCAACTCAAAGGCCCCTGCCTCCAGGAAGGCCTCCTGAAATCCTCCCCAGAATCTTGCAGACCGGGGAATGCCCACTGCCCTGCTGTATTTCCCACCCTGCCAGGCACAGTACTCACCCTCACCACGCCCCAGCACTGTCCTGCTTGTCTGTCCTCTCAACCAGAGTGCAGACAGGGTGGATGGGGTCAGATCTGCTGCTTGCTCCCCCAAACCCTTGGTGACCAGCGTGCAAGAGTGCCCAGCAAGCACATGTGAAACTGATGAAGGAAAGAAGTAGTGAGTTCAGGGATGTCACAGACAGGGACCAGTTACCTTCAGTTTCCTTCTGGCGTTGAACTTCTTCAGGCAGTCCACGGTCTCCTGTCTGTGCATGCAGGAGGCCACCGTGGAGCGGTGCTGGAGAAAGGGTAAGAACCATGTGAGGGCGGATGGACCCAACAGCATTTGGGCAGAAATGACAACATCTTAAGGAGGATCATCCTTCATCCCGCCACATGGTGTGGGGTGGTTAGGATGGTGGCACCGGTCGGCCAGTGCCAGTGCCAGCCCCCAGCATGACGCCAGCCAACCCAGAATATCCCTCAATTCTATATTGTCCCTGAGACCCACTGTGAGCCAGAGATCCTCGGATAAGGCCCCCTCGGCCCCACCCTGGAGCTGTGGGGGTGAAGGAGAAGGACCCTGAGGGCTGGGTCAAAAAAGGCTCACCGAGATCCAGGGGTGCTTGAGAGCCTCAGCGGCTGTGATGCGTTTGGACGGGTTGATGGTCAACATCTTATTGATGAGATCCTTGGCTTCAGGGGTGACGGTGTCCCATTCTGGCGATGGGAACTGGAAGGGGCAGAGGGGCCAGGTTTGCCTAGCCTGCCCCAGGCCACCCCTGCGATCCTCCAGCCCCTGACTGGCAGGGGAGCAGGCAGGGGTTCTCATGCCCAACCTCTCAGGCATCCACAAAGTACTTAGAAACTCGGGTGCCAGACACAGATGGCTACACCTGGGTCCCAGTCACTAAGCCTCTTCCTCCTCAACCTCTCTCTGTGTATACTGAAGGGTAATAGATTATGACTATGTCATAGATTGGGGTGGTGGTTTCATGTGATAATACATGTAAAATATTCAGAATAACGAGACAAAAGTGCTGAGTTATATGGAAGGAAAAAAAAGGCATGTCTCAGAGTCGGGTGTGGTGGGACACATGACTATCTCAGCACTTGGGAAGTGGGGAGAGGAGAATCAGAAAGCCTCGATTACATCGTGACTCTCAGACCACCCTGATCTCATGAGACATTATCTTTTTTAAATTAATGAATTATAAATAAATATGTTTGGGGCCTGTTCCTTGCCTCTACCTTCTAGTGCTCCATAGAATAAATTCCATTATTTTAAGACCCTAACCATTAGTTACCATGTGGTCATAACCTGACTCTGCTGGTCAGTCTTGGGGCTACCCACCCTGCAGTGGGGAGAGCAGTGATGTGTCCCCAGGTCTCTGGCCTCCTAGGCCACTGGTTCTTACCAGAAGGGGAGCATCAGCGGGAGAGGGGGAGCAACACTCACATCATAGGCGCCAGCCTTGATCTGCTGGTACAGGCGGTGCTGGTCCTCGTCCCAGAATGGGGGGTACCCAACCAGCAAGATGTACAGGATGACCCCTGGGGAGAGGAGCAGGAGAGGGGCAGTGAAACGGGAGAGTCAGGGGAGTGGAGAGGGACCTCTGGGTCCCAGTGACAATCGGGCCTTTGGATGGACTCACCGCAGGCCCACAGGTCCACGGGCTTCCCGTACGGGTCCTTCCGCAGCACTTCTGGGGAGAGGTATCCAGGTGTCCCTGCGAACCCTGCTCCCCAGACACACAGACAGGCAGACACACACACAGAGGTTGGCACGTGAGTAGCCTGGAGCAAGACCCTGCAGGAGAGGGGACGAGGATAGCCCTGGAGCTGGAGAACACAGCCCCGCCCCAAAGCTGGGGTCATACTGTGCAAACCCAGGGGTCTTGGTAAGCTGATGAGGCCTGTACTCCAGTCTGGACCAGACAGGTATATACACCACACCTGCCTTCTACTTGCCATCCAGAGCCTCAGTAGACAACAATAATCAATCACAGAGCTCCTTTTACTATAGGCCCCAACCTTCCCTATAGCCATTACCTACCACTTGCTGGTGGCCTTTAAGAGCCCATACCCCACACCCTGCTCAAGGGCTGCTCATGAGATGATGGAAATTTGGTCCTAACTCTGGCTAAGCTCTGTGTGTGTGTGCTGTGTGTGTGTGAGCGTGTGTGTGTACATGCATTGTGTGGTGTATGTGTGAGTGTGTGTATGTGTGCGCATGTATGTATGTGTGTGCTGTGTGTATATGTATGTATGTGTGTACTGTGCATGTGTACGTGTATTGTGTGTGGTGTGTGTGTGCATGTATGTGTGAGCATGTGTACATGTATTGTGTGTGGTGTGTCTATGTGTATTGTATTTGGTGTATGTGTGCATGTGTGTGCGTATGTGTGTATACGTATGTTGTGTGTGTGTGATGTGTATATATATATATGTGTGTATTTACTTTCTAGGCCTTAGTTTCCTAGTCTGTCAGATAAAGGATTAGATGATCTTACCTTTAATACTTCTCAATACTGAGAAGACTGTTGGAATAATGAACACCGAGATATCTTAACTAGATATCTTAACTAGTCACCTCAGGAGTAGTTACTAGTTGCTGCAGATGTGTGCTAAGCATTGGGCTGGTCACTTCACATGCCTGCTATTAGTTACCGTCTTGGGATCCCCTGAGGGACATGCTACTATCCTCTTCTAAGAGATGAAGAAAACAAGACGATTAAAACCATACACCTTGTAAGTAGCAGAGTCAGGATTTGAACCCAAAACTCTGGCTCGTACTTATTTTTGATTTGTTTTAAGGCAGGGTCTCACATTTGTAGCCCAGGCTATCCTTGAACCCCTGTTGTTCTGCCTATAGTTCCAGGTGCTGAGGTTAGAGGCCATTGCCGTCACACCCAGTTTAAGCATTCTGGGTATTAACCACTGGTCATTATTGCTCACTAAGAAGTACCCCAAAGGAGGAAACGTGCCCCATTATTTCCAGTCCTGACACATGCTGGATTATCTGCACTCAAGCACCAGGGCTTCTATGCCTATCCAGTTCTGACCTTTCCCAAGCCGCTTAGCTTGTCCATTCTCTGTAACACCCAGGGGAACCCTACAGAGTTCCTGCCAACCCTGAAGTTCATGCCCTCACAAACAAGACGTACCACTGGTCAGTGATAGCCCTTTGCCTAAACCTAGTCCTGAGGGAAAGAAGTAGGCACTGCCCACTAGCCCAGAGGCTGACTAGGGGCAACCCTAGACAGCCAAACAGCCATCTCTAGGCCGTCTCATCTTGAACAGAGGGTTCCCAGGAGCACACATGTTGCCCGGAGTATGCCCCTCCCTTCCCTGCCACTCCACACCCCACTCACCAAACCATGCCTGCTGCTCCCCCTCAACCTCTATGGCCAGGCCGAAGTCTGCCAGCTTCACTGCAGCACCCTTGAGCTTCGAGGCCAGCAACAGGTTCTCAGGCTTCCCGGGGCCAGGAAGGGAGAGGGGAAAGGAGGGACCAAGAGATAGTCAGTAGGTTCAGAACCTCACCCATAGCCTTAGCATACCCAATGAGTAGCTGAATGGTTCAGGGTCTCATCCCCTCCCGCACCTCTGGATCCAGGATCTTGAGTTCCTGTGCCCAAGTGTGCGACTATGGCAAGACCCTCAGCTTTTGCAACAGAAAGATTCTTTCTCCCACAGCCTCCCCAACCAAGGTTGAGCGCTGGGGCTGGGGAGAGCTGAGATGGACCAGGGTGACACAGCCCAGCCTCCTTAAGAAAACAGCTGCATCTTTTAGCACCAGCTCAGTGCTGTGGTCCACCATCAACCTCTCACCAGTGGCCCCAGGGACCTCAGGACAGACATTAGTCTTTGCTTCCCATGGTGACCGCTTCCACCCCTCTAAACAGTCCCCTAGTCCCCAGCTCGGAGCCTTTGTGTTGCCTGTGCTCCCTACATTGCTTGCTCTTCTCCCAAATACCTGTCCTGTTCTCAGACTCATGTCAGCCCTCCAAAGGGCTCTCTCTAGTCCATGCTAGCTCCTTATGTACATGTTATCAAGTCCATAAGATGGAGAAAGTGGAGCCCTGAGGGGGTACGTGACTTGTTATAGCTGTTAAATGACGGGTGTCATGGCAAAGCAACGGGGCTTGGATGTGGGACCACGGTTGACATGGGGGATGCCCACAGCTGACCTCTAGGTGCCCAAATCTTCCTACCACCTTGAGACTCTGGACAAAGGGGGAGCTGAGACTATGGAGTTCCACACTTTGTCTCAGCTTCTAATTCCAGCGCTGCCAGGGCTGTGATGGAACCTGGCCAAATGATTTCCCTGCTCTGATGGTTGGCTTCCTTTCAGAGAAAAGGGACAGATGCCTGCCTTGTAGCGCGGTGTCTAGGTGTGTAAACAGCAGTGCTTCGGGTTCCGCTTGATGGGTGCTAGGCCCTGGTGCTCAAACTTCCTGCTGGGGGCGGGGCTGAAGCCCTCTGTAGAGACAGCTGGTGTCTGCTCTGGCTCTTGCTCTTTCCCAGCCGGACTTCCAGGACCCCCTCCCGACCTTTCACGGTCCAAAACTAGCACGGCACAAAGAAATAAGACCCTTGCCCCTGGGCTTGGTGAGGCCTCCTTTATCCGCAGGGGCTGTGTTCCCAACATGTCCTGTGTCTCAGTAGTGTTCTGCCCTGATTTGATGAATGTACCACTAATTAGTGATTCCAGAGTGGCCTAAATCTGGGTCGCTTCTCAGCTCTCTGGCTTCCTCTTCCCCAGCGTAGTCTGTTACCATAAAGAGAACAGACCCGTGGGGAAAGCCACCCTTCCCTCGGACTGAGACCTTATCCCTGGGCCTATCTTTTTGTCACCAAGGTAGAGGGAACTCACCTGGAGCATAGGTAAGACCTCAAGTAGGGCCTAAGATAGTAGGAAAAAGGTAGGGAACCTTTTCAGAGCACTGTGCCCTGAGCAAGGATGGGGACTGGCTGACCAGGAAAGTTATCCAGGCTCAAAAGGGCCTGGAGTCAATCCTGGTGGGAATGGGGGTTGCAGCTCCGGGAAGCCTGAGAATTCCTCAATAACTCTGGGGCTCCCAAGTCCTTTTGTATTTCAAACTGGGGCTGCAGGCAGTGTCCACAGTGAGTGTTCCTGCCAGAGCTACCCCAGAGGACGTCCGCAAAGTTGCTGATGTCCAAGATTCCTGGACACCTGGCATGCTTGTCCCAGAGTGGCTACTGCAGAAGCTGAATTGGATTAAATAGCTTTCTACACTGTGGGGGAGGGGACACAGGCTCTGGGCTGAAAGCAAGCCAGGGATCCTTGTCCTTGCTCAGACTCCACTGAAATGCAGACCCTTGACAAACCCCTCGGACTCTCTCAGTTTGTTTCCTCTTTTGTAAAATGAGGGTTCTGTGAGTTACTGACTGCTGATGTCATAAGGCTGACGAAGGAGATCCGTGAGGTCCATACGTATTGGGTAAGGTCATGCAGCCCATGACAATGCTAGACATGATAATGCTAGACTTTTTAATGCTATTCCTTTCCTTCAGGTGGGCAGAAAGGGGACACAGGGGGTCTCCAAGACCTGTTTTCTTCTCCTTTGCCTGACAGAGACCCAGGAGCAAGAGTAACAGGATGCCTGTATTCCAGGGATGTTGTGGTTTCCTTTAACAACCTCATCAATGGGCAGAGGTTGCCATGACAACCCCTCTGTAGGGAAGCTGAGTCACCTGCAAGATAGTCCAGCTAATGGGTTAGAAAGATGGCTCAATGATTAAGAACACTGGCTGCTTGCTCTTCCAGAGGACCAGGGTTTGAGTCCTAGTGCCCACATGGAGTTTCGAAACTGTCTAAAACTCCAATTCTAGGGGGCCCGATGCCCTCTTCTGGTCTCCACAGTCACCAGGCATGCATGGGTTGTACATAGGCACACACACATGTGATGAATATACATAAAATAAAGAAACTTAAAAAAAAAGTCAAGTAGTTACAAGGCAGGAGGCTGAGTTCTGCTCCCTTTCCAACCCACTTGGCCGCCTCAGTCTGTTGCACTTTACCTGCCTGGCACAAACAGCGTGGGGCCTAGGCCTAGTAGTCCTAGGCCTCCCTGAACTCAGTTTCCTGACCTGACAGCTTTGACAGCTGGGAAAACAGTCACCCATCTCAAGGTGGAGAAATTAAAGGAATTAAGGTGGGGCGGGGTGGGGGGAGATATGCAGAGCAGAGGACCTGGCTGAGTTGCTGAGTTCCCTCCCCAGGCCCCTGTTGGGAGGGATTTGGGTGGTGGTCTCTTTGGGGGCAGGACGGGAGTGCTGAGCCAAGGGGCTTGGCCTCTCTGGGGTTTCTCACCTTCAAGTCTCGGTGCACCACTCCCATCTGGTGACAGTGCAGCACAGCCTCCAGGATCTGCTGGATGCAGTGACTGGAGAGAAAGGGGAGGGGTCAGGCCCCCTGGGAAGCTGGCTGCAGGCAAGGGCACCCTCCCCCTCCCTCCAGGCAGCCTCTGCTAGGCTGCACCTGATACTCACCTGGCATCGGCCTCGCTGTAATACTCCCGGGCCACGATGTCTTCAAACAGCTCCCCCCCAGTGACCCTGGGGAGACAGGCATGGAAGTCACCCTTCCACTGAGACTCCAGGTGCCACCTGGCCTGGAGGAACCTTCTGGAAATCATCTGAGAAGGGCAGGGCCAGGGACCTTAGAATCCCAGCCCTCAAAAGAAGAACTGGATCATGAATGTCCCTGCTGCCACCCCCTTCCTGTTTTCTGACATAGCCAGATTTCCCCGATGCCTCTTCCTCCTCACACTGGGTCCAGACCGTTGGGGACAATAGCGCAGAAGCAATCATTGGTCCATAGGCTTCTGGAAGCCCATGGTCCATTTGGCTTTGCTTAGCTTGCTTTTCTGTTTATTTTAAAACCATTTTTGTTTTTTTTTTAATCACGTGGAAGCTATGGAGATTTCTCGTGTGCTCCTGTCCCCAACATGCCCGCCCCCCAGCACCACTGTTTTACAGACCCAGGCCAGCATCCTCACCGATTGCCACTGCCCACCCAAGAACAACTGACGCCTGTCATTTTGTTCCTGCTTTGACAAACCAGATTTCAAAATGGAACTTGATATCACTACCATGAACGGCAAGGCAGCATCACTGGCCACAAATAGAGAAGCAAAAATAAACTGATGATGCTGGTCGAATGTGTCTGGTGTTTTAAACAGAAATACCAGCTTGCACAGCTTGGGCAGTGGCCGGCGACATTTAGAGGAACTCTAAGAGCATTTGGACTGAGTCCTCAGACCGAGTCCATCAGGGCCATCCCTGCCTAGACACCCTTCTCCCATGGCACCACGGGGTATGTGTGGAAAAGACTCACAAATCGAAGATAAGGTAGTGATGTCCCTCCTCGGAGATGCTGTCATGGAGCCGGACTGTGGACAGGGCCAAAGCGACTGGTTACTTGGGGTTCACTTCTCGCCACCCCTCTGTCCCTATCAAATTCCTGGAGCTACCACCTCAACCCTCAGTCCTTGAACACAGACTTTGACAAAAGCAAGAGGAATGGGGGCTGACCCGCACCAAGACCCCCAACATTACTGAAAAGGGACTAGGCGTAAAGACTGAAGACCTCTGTGTGTCAATTTGGTCCCTCTCCCCGTTCCAGCCCTCACATCCATTGCTGGGCAAACCAGAGTGCTACAAGAACCGGTGGTGCCAGTCTCTGCCACAAACTGGCTGTGTGACGGTACCTGGGCAAGTTACTATGCCTCTCTGAACCTCTTTTTTCCTTATTTAGACTGTGCTAGGTTGTTACAGGAGTCCCATGAGGTGCACAGCCGTGCCCACTCAGTGCTGGCCCCCGACTGACATCCCTGCTCTGCAGTCTAAGACAATAGTGTTCCCTGGGGCTGGAGTGAGAGAGACAGCAGTTGGTTCCTGCACTCTGATGGCTGCAAATTTGCCATCTCTTCACACCTCATTTACCGGGAACAGAGAGGCAAAGCTCCCAGGAGCCCAGAGCTCCCTAAATTGCTCAGCTTTTAAAAGAAGGGCCTGCAGCCTAGGACTGGCTCTGGGAGCTGTGTCCTGTTAGCCAAGGACCAGTTCTCACAAGCCTAAAGTTGCCCATCCTTCTCTGTGTCATTGACAGTCGGGGTGGGGGTGCTGACTGAGACAATTAGGATCCTCCTACACAATAGAAGCCACACAGCTGTTGAAATGATTCGGAAGTTCACCCGCTGGTTTGGAATCTTCTCCAAATTATGTCGTTTGGTGAAAAGGCAAAATGTAAAGCTGTGGCGTTCTTTCTTTTTTATTTTTTTCCTTTTTTATTTTATTGATTTTTATTGAGCTCTACATTTTTCTCTGCTCCCCTCCCTTCCTCTTCCCTCCCCTTCAACTCTCTCCCAAGTTCCCAATCTCCCAATTTACTCAGGAGATTTGTCTTTTTCTACTTCCCATGTAGATTAGATCCGTGTATGTCTCTCTTAGAGTCCTCGTTGTTGTCTAGGTTCTCTGGGATTATGATTTGTAGGCTGGTTTTCTTTGCTTTGTGAGTGAGTACATGTGATAATTGTCTTTCTGAGTCTGGGTTACCTCACTCAAAATGGTGTTTTCTAGTTCCATCCATTTGTGTGGCGTTCTTTCTAAAAAAGATGCTTGAGCTCAGGTCTGATACACATCTGTCTGGGAAGATGAAGAAGTGAACAACAGGGTTGTAAGCTCCCTTCTCACTGGAAGCCATAGCTAGCATCACTGGGTGTGTGACAGCGGCCTTGAGTACAACTCAATGTGGAGCCCTTGAGTGGTTCATAGCCTTCAGACTCATATATAAATTCAGTGGACTGAGAGGCAGTTCCTGAATGGATGCCCCAGGGGTCGGGAGATGACCATCAGAGATAGGTGATGGAGGGAGTGTTTTACACAATCTTAAATGAAAATGGTAAGAGCTTTTCCCTTTTGATAGCGCTGGGGATTAAACAGAGCAAAGGGATGTTACCCCTAAGCAGCATCCCCGACCTTGTCTGTGGCTGTTGTTGATGTTTGTTGCTTGTTTGTCTTTAGAGAGACATAGCTCAAATTCACAGTACTCCTGCCTAAATGCTGGGATTACAAGCATGTCATGTGCCTGGAATGTTAACCCAAGTGTGAAGTATACTTTCTCTTTTAGAGTTCTCTCTCTCTCTCTCTCTCTCTCTCTCTCTCTCTCTCTCTCTCTCTCCCTCCCTCCCTCCCTCCCTCCCTCCCTCTCTCTCTCTCTCTCTCTCTCTCTCTCTCTCTCTCTCTGCACATAAGTGTGCAGGTGCCAGCAGAGGCCAAAATGCCTCAGATCCCCTGAAACTGGAGTTTCAGGTGGTTGTGAGCCACCTGATGAGGGTGTTGGGAACCCAAGTCTGTCCCTCTGCAGGAGCAGTTAAGGGCTCTTAATTGCTGAGCCATCTCGCCAGTGAAAGTATTCCTAGATGCCTGTAAGCTGTAAAGGCTTTGGGTATGAAGTGTCTCCCAAGACTCGAGTGTTAAATGCTTGATCTCCAGTGAATAGTGCTATGGGGAGTGATTGGATTGTGGGGATACTAACCTCCACTCATTTGATGAACATTTCCATTGAGGAGATCATAGCTGGATGGGCTATCAGCAGGTAGAGCATGGTTCATGAATATCTTCCCATCCCAAACTATTCACTGAACTCTCAGGTTGCGAATAGCTTCTCAAGGTTTCCCATACTCTGGCATGGGCATGAACTTTCTGAGGTCTGTCTATCATAAGTGGTGACGGCACCACCCTCACCCCAGGCAGGAATGGAGGGGTAAAATGTCTGCAGACACAGCTGGATCAGCCTGTACTGAGATCCCCACTCCCAAGCCTTTGGACAGGACAGTGGACACAAGCAGATAACAGCCCATCTGCCTTGCCTGGACTTGCCAAGCAGAATAAGATCTTGTGAGATTTCTCCAGGCACGCTGCCCTCTGGGCTCCTGCACCATATCCATACCATGTTAGGTTTCTCTAGCAAGATGGCATCAGCTTGAGATGAGTTATTGGGCAAGATAGGGGCCTTTCCAGCTTCTTCAGCAGTAGCCCATTGCTTCTGTTCCTCTGAGATTCTGCTGGCATCATGCTCGACTCTACTCCCCACAAATAGCCATGTTTACTCAAGTGCATTCCCGCCCTCATTTCTCCTGACAGCCGCAATGCCTAGAAGAGGTCTGAGCATGTGCTAGAGCCTCCAGCGAACTTGACATTGTGTGAACGAGGAGTAAACAGCTCCATGGAGACAGTGGAAAGGTGGCAACTCATCTCTGGGCTCTTGCACCTCAGCATGTCAGGGTGTCTACCTGTGCCAATGGTGCAGAGCAAGGGCTGTGTGGGGTCACAGGTGAAACTTGTCTCCTGGGGAGATCATGCTGCAAAATGGGCAGATGGGGCTCGGAGTCCTGAGCAGTATAAAGCACGTTCACCCTGGCATTGCACTATGCTCTCTTGAATTACCACACCTAGCAAGGCAGGGTAATTCTGAATTTCCAGAAAAGTCTGAATTTCAGAATGGTAAGGCAAGGTGTCTAGGGTTGGTTAAATAGTAACAAAGCAGTGTTTGAGCCACAGATTGTTACCCCACGGCCCATGTACTCCTGTTACAGCCGGGAGTGGGAGGGAGAGAGACATAGACAGGAGCACTGAGTTCAGACAGAGCAGCTGCATGTGCAAACCCATCTGGATATGTGTGTGTGTGTGTGTGTGTGTGTATCACACACATACACATATATCACATACACACACCACACATGCACAGAAATACCACACATAGACATACACACATACAGAAATATCTAGATACGTGTGTGTGCACATCACACACACACAGATACCACATACAGACACCATACATGCACAGAGATACCACACATAGACACACATACATACAGAGACATATAGATAACATGTGTGTGCACATCACACACACAGAGAAACCTCATATAGACATCACACACACACAGAGCAACCACATGTAGACATTACACACATGCAGACACCACACACAGACACACACATATAGAGACACACCACCGAGACACACATATAGAAACAAACACAAAGAGAGATGATACACATGCACAAAGAGAGACACATACAGAAATATGCACACACAGAGATACAGACACACATACAGAGACAAAGACACATGCACAAACACAGAGATACCACAAACACACACAGATAACATACACACACACACACACACGTATGTCACTCTCCTCCTCCCAACCTGACAGCCTCCTTGAGGACATGGGTGTCTGTCAGAGCTCCCTGGAACCCTCCATCAGCAGTGAGCGGTGGAGGACCCAGGTAAGCAGAGCAGGGTCCAGCTAGGGCCCTCCTCCAGCTGTGGCCTTTGGCCTCTTCTCTGCTACTGGCTGCCTCTGGCTGCTGTGCAGGGGAGGGGAGGGGCCTCTGCTTGAAATAGCAGGTGGAGCAATCTCCCTGGGGAAAGTTAACTCTTCCTGCTCTGTACAGGAATCTGCTTCCCCTCCATGGAAGAAGGCAGAGCTATAGGAACTGGAGCTCCCTCGGAGAACTCAAGGCAGCTCACCTGGAAACAAGCCCCGGGAACCAGCAGCTTAGCTTCCCCTCTGAGAGCCCATCTCAGGCCTATAAAAGCAGAAGCTGCCGTGACACAGGACCCCCAGGTAACAAGACAAGGCCATGCGCCAATGAAGATGAGGGAAGTGGCTCTGGAAGCAGCTTTCCCACAAAGGTCTCACAGCTGTGCCAATAGAACAGGACCTGACAGCCCTGCTCCTCCCTGACTGGAGGGATCTGCAGACCCAATGCTTCCATGCATTGGAGGGGATAGGTAGTGAAACATAAGACAATGAAGTGTGTTTTAGGACCTTCCCTGTGGTCCTGCCACCATGGACCAAGCATCTCCAGAAGACTGACCTCGGTCTAACTCTGGGGCAGGGGCCAAGCTCCTGGAAGGGCAAGAGACAGACAGGGGCAGGACTCAGAAGCTGGACAGGGCCACAGATCCAAGCTAATACTGCATGTGGTGGGTCGGGGCGTGGGCCTTGCTGGTCAAGGCCAAGCTTCCCCCTGGCCTATTTTCATCTTTCTTTTTCAGCTTCAAGAGCTTTCCTGAGACAGCTTTTCCGAAGGAGGCTGCTGGCAGCGTGGGAGGGAGGAAGGGTCCTTTTTCTTCACCTTCCCCCAAAGCAAGCTGGTCCTGAACAAGACGCCCCCTTTCGCATCTTCCTCCACAGCCTCCGTCCCCAGAGAAGAAAGTGGCTGCTCCCCACTACCCCACACTGTACCAGGACCCCCTCACGCTCCTGGGGCTCACCGATATTGGGGTGCTTCAACAAGCGGCAGATGCGGGCCTCGCGCTCCAGCTTCTGGTGATCTGAAATAGAGATTCCCACATGAATCCCAGAAATGTTAGACTCCCACCCTGCCTCTACCGTCCTTTCCTCTGAAAGGGTGGCCCCAGGCACTGGAAAATGCACACTACATACCAGGGCTTCTGAGTTCCCAGAAAGGGCAAGAAGGTGGTGGGGACTGAGACGAGTCCCTCTCCCCCTCCAGGCCTCAGCTTCCAGGGCTCTTCAAGGACGGCTTTCTCCAACCCCTTCTTGTATGATGGGACCAACCACCCTGAGGTCTGGAGCCCAGGTACAACTCCCTGTAACATCCTACAAACCCTGCCCTCAAACCCTAGCTCCAGACACTGCAGAGTTTTCCTTTCCTGGGTCCCCTCTGGGAACCACCAGTTCCCTGGGCAGGCAAACCATATCACTAGCCATGACTTGATCCTACTGCTCCTTGATGTCATTGGTTTCTAGAAGCCTACCCTGACTTTAGGCCTGTAGGGACCCTCCTCTAGGCTCCAGAGAGCCAGGCAGTATCTTTATGTCTCATAGAACCTACATCCTTGGGCAGGGTCTCTCTTGTACCACCTGTATCTGCTTGAAGGTACATGCTAGTTATTCAAGAAATCACAAATGGATGGATGGATGGATGGACAGATGGATGGGTGCATGCATGAATGATGGACAGATGGACGGATGGATGGATGAGGTAGCTTCCTAAGGTAATTTTTTTTCAGAAGAGCTGTACCCCAGTAGCCCCCTCCATTTCATAGGACACTGGAAGCCGGGACAGGCATCTCCAAAGACTTACAAGGTATAATTTGCTGTGTCCCTCCCTTGGGGCTGGCCCAGAGCTGCACACCTACCTTCCAGGACCTCTGCCCAAAACTCCCTATCCCCCAGCCACCTGTAAGAGCGTGTATAAACTCAACAGCCTGTGTGGTGTCAGCCTCAGGCTGCTGGGAACAATCATAGCTACCATCTGGTCAGTGCCTGCCATGGTGGTCTGTGGCACCACCACCCCCATTTCAAAGATAAGGACACGTGGCCCAAGCCAGGGGCAGTCTTGGGGCTGCCGTGGCCATTGTGCAGTCTTCAATTCCCTTTGCGCTGTCTGTCCACAATTCATTAGTTAATGTTTGAGTTGAAGAAACAAAACATTTAAAGAGAAATTGCTAGCAAATGTGGAATGGAGGTTGAGCACCCTTTGTCCAAAATGCTTTGGAACGGGGACCAAAAGTGTTTGAGATTTTGGGTTTTTGGACTATCTGCATATACAAAATGAGTTGTCTTGGAAAAGGGACTATAAACTAAGCCCAGAGTACATGTCTGTGAAATATACATGCATCCTAGGGGTAATTTGACTTCAGTACATGTGCTGCCAAAGTCAGCACCTAAAGGCAATTTTATATGACTTTTTCATGGTGTTGTACATAAACCCAGTTTTTCCTAGTGTGGAATGTTCCACTTTCCAGATTACATCCAACCTCAAAGTTTGCATTTTCTAGTTGGAGACTCTGAACCTGAATTTACTTGATGCCAGGCACAGGGCAGAGCATTTGCGTACCTTTCAAGCACTCCTTAGGGGATACTATCACTGTTCTGTCTTCACAGAGGAAGAAGAAGCTAAGGACCCAGTCCAGGCGGTGTGATTGGAGCTGGACTTTAAGCCCTGTGTTGTACTGTTCTCCGTAACCTGACTCAGGACTGTCCCTTTGGCCTGCCTGTGCCCCAATGAGGAGGTTGGAACACATAGAAGGACACTTAAGCTACAGTTCAAGGCTGACCCAGGACTAAAACCTCACCGCAGGATGGTCCCTCCAGAGCAGGTGTGGCGAGGACAGAGAAAGCCCTTCTTTCCCCTGCTCGCTCCTCTAGATCAATTGCTGGCTGCCCTCTGTGGACTGCAGAAGCCACGATCAATGCTGAAATACGGCTTTCCCATCAGCAATGCAATTAAGTCCAATTCTGATTTGATAGGCTCAGCTCCCCAGCTGACAACCTGCTGCAGGCTATAGGGAGTGGGGATGGGGTGCAAGGCTAGATCAGCCTCCCTCCCTGCCTCCTTCAGCACCCTCAGAAGTGGGTGCTGATTCCTGGCAGAGGAGGGGACCCCAACCAGCCCCTACCCCCCCACACACAGTTCACCTACATCCACAGCAGAACCAGAGATCTGCAGAGGCAAGGCCCAGCCTATCAGAAGGAATGGGATCGTCTGCCCAGACAACACATTCAGAGCGATAGGGTGCGTTTGGCTTGCTGTGCCCGCTTCCTAGAGTGTTCCTCCCCTGGGCCTTCTTCTACTACTTTCCTCCTCCTCAGACAGATCCCAGGACAAAGTCACTTCCTCAGAGAGCTTCCCCAGCTCTCTGCAATGGTCCGTCTGCCCTTCATTCTCCTTCACCGGGTCTGACCTTTCTTTCTTTTAGACTGTCTCTCTATGCTATAGCCCTGGCAGTCTTAGAACTCACTGTATAGACCAGGCTGGTCTTGAACTCAAAGGTGTGTGCCCCCATTCCTCTCTGATTCTCTTGGTAACACCTCTCAGTTCTCCCTCTACCTAGTGTATAGTTGTGTTTCATATCTCATTCCCAAGTAAATGGGCCCAGTGGAAACACAACCTTGTCCACTGGTTACTGCCTAGGGGCCTAGCATGGCGTTTCTGAGATGCTTGTCTAAACCCCTAGCATAGGCAAGCGGCAGAGCTGCGTGTCAGTTCCTGCGAATAACTGCACTGATAATCGGTGTATGACTCAGTCCCAGCCCACAGCGATGAGACATCCAAGGAAGCTTAGAGTCTCCACACCCTGCCTGGTACCAGAGAACATAGACCCTAGACCCATGATGACACCTGGGGGACCTTCATCCCACTTTGGTTGGGTCAACCTCAGGGTATTGAGGCCAAATTGGAGACAGCCTAGTGCCAGGAGCCAGACAGTCCCAGTCGGGCCAGGTAGGACCAGAGCCATGCAAGCACACTGGAGGGCTCCTGCAAACAGGTGAGCACCGGTTTGTAGCAGAAGGGAATGATGAATGGGGGAGGGCACTGGGAGCAAAAAAGGCCCCTCCCCACCCATCCTGGGATATGAGAGAAATAATCCGAAGACCAGAGGTGTCAGGAGAGTATGGGGAAGACAGACTCATGAACCTCAGAGCCTCCCAAGAGCATTGTAACAGGCATCTTACTGAATCTCAGAGATGGCGCATGAGCCTGCACCAGGAGTCTGAGCCTAGAGTCTTAGAAGACCACCCCTGAGCACTGCACCAACCCCACCTTTATGCCCAGAGTCCCTAAGAGGTCCATCGAGCACCTGGGAGGGTCTAGCCCTGAGCGCACGGCTGTCATTTACTATGCCAGGACTTCTGCGGTCCAAAAGCCTCACTGAGACAATTCGACTCCAGGGGGAAGCTCAGGCAGTTGCATTTTGTTTCCAAGACTGGAATTCAGGACCAGCAGGGATGTAAACAGGCAAAATCTCTACGTTTCATTTCATTTGCTTGTGGTTTCTTTGATTGACACTTTGAATGTGAAGGTTTTGTTCTTAAGAACTAATTTTAAAATATATATAAAAATACCTCCTGGGAGTTGGGAACTACTTGCTAGAAGAGGCCATGTGGGGTGTGCTAGGGGAAGCCAGGGCTTGCTGGGAGGGGTGGATAGAAGCCCTGGGTGGGTCCAGCTCCTGCTGGGAGCTGCGGGAAGCCATCCCAAAGAGCCAGCAGGGGAGGTTTAGAGAATAGCGCCAAATGTGACAGCTTTAATGCCCCCTGTGGAGGCGAGTGTCACAAAGAGACCTGCTAAAGGAGCTCTGCTCTCCTCCCAGCTGGGGAGAGGGTTCGGTGGCGGCAGACAGCCTGGAGAAAGTTCCCTTACACATCCCTGCTCCTAGCCTCTTAGGTCACAGTCTCAACAGATAGTCAGAGAGAGAAGGCCTAGGTAGTAGCTGCCCAACACTAACAGTGAGAGTCTCTACTGTCCAAGAATGCTTAGTCACCTTCCCAAACAGGAGTGATGGCCTCTGTGTCTCTGCGTCCCCTGAGAAGATAGAACTGCAGCCGCAGCCGGCATGATGCTCCCCTCTCACCTTCCTTCCTGATGCTCCTCTGGAGGGCAAAACTTGACCTGCCTTAACTATAGCTTAGGGTTCTCAACCTGCGGGTCATGATCCCTTTGGGGGGGTCGAATGACCCCTTCATGGGGATTGCCTAAGACCATCAGAAAACACAGACATTTACATTGTGATTCATAACAGTAGCAAAATTACAGTTATAAAGTAGCAAAGAAAATAACTGTGTGTGTGTGTGTGTAGGGGGTCACCACAACACGAGGAACTGCACTAAAGGGTATCAGCATCAGGAAGGTTGAGAACCACTGCTCCAGCCCTATCCCCAGGGTCTCAGGAACTGGGGCACAACTAGGCACGTAACAGCTGAAGGCTGCGCCAGGGCCAGGCTGCCAACAGGAGGCAGCACTCTGTTCGGACTTCCTGCCCATCTGTTTCCTTGCCTCTGACTCCAACCCCAGACTTTCTGCAGACCTAGCCTTTTCACACTAGTCATGCCAGCTGGGGACTCTCGCCGGATGCAAAGCAGTAAGTAAAAAGCGTTGTGGGCCAGACGGCAGAGCTGGAGACAAAAGGCAGCAACCACAAGCCAGTCCAGGGCTTGCTGGGAGGCCTGCAGAGAGCAGCGTGATCACCATGGTACAGCATCCCTAGGACCTTCATAAGCCATGCACCTGCTGGGCCTTCATCCAGACAAACACTTAGACACACTGTGCCTCTCTCCTAAGATTCTGCACCCATCTCACCCAACAGAATTCTCCTTACACCGGTCTTCAAGGCATCTATTGTGTGGGGGTGGGGGTGGGGTTGGCTTATCAATACACTGACTTGGTCACCAACTACTGTCCTAAGCACACAGGAATGACCAGGACTCTTCTGGGCAGAGTTCCCAAACTCCAGTGCCCCTGGGCATCTTAACGATGCAACTTTAACTGTTTTAGATTGAAACAGGGGTCATCTCCCAGGGCATGGTGCTGCTGCTGGCCAGGATCATTCTAAGGTTTAGGAGACAATGTTCCTAAAGTCTCTGAAGCTACAATTAGCTGGATGTTCTTTTCAAAAGCAGGCTGCACCTCAGAGCACCTATTCAAAAGCCAGTGTCCTGGGAGCAGAGCCACGGACAGTTCTCAGATAGCACAGAGACCTGGCGAGGGCGCTGTCCTGGGTGCTGAGCCCAGAGCAGTGGGTGAGTCCTGTCGACTCAACCAGGGATTAAACAAGGAGCCAAAGTGGGGGGCACATAATGAAGTGAGCCCGGGGGACAGCTACGTGGAAATCAAAAACAGTGGAAAGAGAAAAATGCAGACTGAGCAGAGGGCAAGAATACTGCTCCGAGGATGTGACCCTGAGTAGCGACCTGGGATGAGCAAAGGGGCTGCCCATAGAAGGAGCCAGGCTAAACAGAGTTACAGCAAAGGCAGAGGTTGGGTGGCAAGCCATGGAGGACATGATAGAGGGGAAAGGAGAGGGAATACCATGGAGGGCTTGACCTATGTGAGAGACACTGAAACCCGTAGCCTGGATTTCCTGAGGAAGGATCTATTCTCATCACACTCTCAGAAGGAAGAGCTTCCTAGCCTGCCAGCAGCATCTCCCAGAAGTCAAGCTCGGGGTTCGGGTCCAGGGCGAGAGCCACAGCAGAGTGGAAAATAGGCAGTGGGCAGGCAGTGCGGAACCCACCTCGGGCTGAGAGCTTCTTGGTGTTGATGATCTTGGCAGCATACTCCTGGCCAGCCAGCACCTTCACACACCTGCGCACCACGGAGAAAGCGCCCCTGGAAGACAGAGAACAGCATGGCACAGGGAGAAGCCTGAGGCCTGTGTCTACAGGCTACCAAGAGCTCCTACATGTGAACCGTGAAAGAAGCGAGACCCCTTCGTCAGAGCCATCTGTGTCACGAGAGCTGCAGGGCCTGGCTTACAGCAGTACTGGTCAGGAAGATCCAGAGAGGGGCCCAGATCCTTGGTCTCATGCAAGATGAGCCCTCCGGGTCTATAAAAGTTAGGTCACCGAGTTATAAAACGTTAGAAGCCTGGAGTGAGAACCACAGAATCTGGGTCTTGGAGAATCTTTAGAGCTTTGTTCTTAGAACAAGTAACACATCACACAGCTCCAGGTTCAAAGGAGGTAAATATGTAGACCTGGAAACATCCTGCCTCCACTCCAAGGCCCCAGCCCGCAAACTGTCCTCTTTACCATGGCCTCCGTGGCTGGGGCCTGGAGTCTCTCCATGCAGACCTCGCCTCCCACACAGCACCAGTTGGGTATACTATTCGGTTTTCTCCTTTCTGCTGTTAACTTAGTTTTTCCTTTGAGACAGGGTCTGACCGTGTAGCCCTGGCTGGCCGAGAACTCAAATCCACCCGCCTTTGCCTCCCCAGTGCTGGGATCAGAAGTGTATACCAACATGTTCTCTGCTTCTTGATCTGTTGTGATGTGAATAGACTATTGTGTGTGCTACTTCCACAAACTAAGACACTTTGCTGTGTCTGCCTATCCACAAAACAGTAAAACCCCCTGAAACTGTGAGCCAAATTAAATCTTTCTCCCTGAAGCTGCTTGTCAGGCAATTTTGTCATAGATATATAAAAAAATCTCTAATATAGTATATATATAATCTCTAATATAGTATATATAAAATCTCTAATATAGTATATATATAAATCTCTAATATAGTATATATACTATATTAGAGATTTTTTGTATTAGTGATATATATAATGTACACACATACATTTATATATATATATGGAAACCAATTTTCTCTGCCTTTGTCAATATGGTGTGTTACCAAGCTTTTTTGTATTTGCTGGTAAGAGGGAATACCAATTTGACACAGATTCAGTTTTGTACGTGTGTGTGGTGTGCACACATGTATGTTGTGATGTGTGTGCTCGTGCAAGCCCTGTGGAGCCGGACCAGGATGTCAGAAGTCTTCTGCCGCTCCTTGCCTTATTGCCTTGAGATACTGTCTCTCATGAACTGGGGACTGGCTGTTTTAGCTAAGCTGGCTGTCCATCAGATTCTCAGGGTGCCATGAAGCCCCCGTGTAGAAAAAGCTTACCTGGTATTAGCCATCCCCCCACAGTACCGCCCACCAAATAAAGGAGGACTAACCAGTCCTCCTGCTGTCTGTACGCCCGTGGAATGTCTCCCAAGTCACTCCTGTGCTCCCGGTGCTGGGACTAAGGGCATATGTAGCAGTGTTTGGCTCCTTTATTTCAAAAGAGTTTGAGCACAGAGCCAAAGGAAACTAGTTTGAGGGCTGGATCTGAGCTTGAGCTACCATTTTTGTGCATCTTGAAGGCCGTCTTGTCAACCCCTCACACCACAGAAAAAAGTGTCACCATCATCACTGTCCTCACACCAATGACCAGAAGAAAGAGCCTGGGACGACTTCTCAGATGCGAGTGTGCTGTCATTTGGACAAATCATCTAGACACAGTGCAAAAACCACAGTCCAGAGGCCTCCTGTGTGGAGCACGGATCAAGGCGCTGAGCTCCAGGGTGCAGCTCCACGGAGACTGCTCGAGTTCACACTGCACTCACAAGCAGAGCTGTACCTGGGCCTCACACATGTGCGCTTCTGGACTTTTAAGGAGTACTCGTCCAGCTTCCTTTTGGCCACGCTCAGTTCCCGATAGCCTCCAAACTTCCACCCCTACACCTGAGATGATGGGCATACCCAAGCCACAAGGTGCTTAGATGATTCCTGTGAACCCTGTTATCCGGAAAGTCGGGTCATAGCCTCTCTTCTTGTCGTTAACATGCGAAGCAGGGGCGATGTCGAGTGGACCCCGAGGAAGCCTGCAGCCTGGCATAGATAGATCCCAGATGAGCACACTCTAGCTGCCTCAACACAGGGCAGCAAGAAGTAAGTGGGCAGAAAAGGACAAGGAAGAAAGGAATGGCCAGGATCACGTGTATACCGAAGGCATCACAGTAATGGTTCTTCCCTGGGACATCACATTCTACCTGCTCATCACCAATAAGAAAGCAGAGACATCCCAGCCACCTCCTTGAGACACTGCCTCTACTACGGGGCCTCCACATAGGAAAAGCTTACCTGCTGTTAGCCATCCCCCACATACTGGCCACCAAATAAAGGTGGCCTCTTTTATGCTAACCCGTCCTCCCGCTGCCTATACCCCTGTGGAAAGTCTTGAAAGTCAGTTATGCTGTGGTCTAGAGTTGGGGCAGAGCTGCAGGTTCAGGGCTCCATTCCACAACACTGTGCCCTCACTTCAGGCGCCAACTGTAGGAAATGGTTCCCCAGGTCACCCGTGCTCCTGTGCAACTTTGCTAACAACTGGAAGTTCTTACTGCTGTTCTCAGATTGAAGGATTTTCTATGATAGCGTCGAGAACTCAGGAAAGCACGTTTGCGCGTTTGTTATACAACCTAAGACATGGTGAAGAATACAGATGAGCAGCTGGAGAGAGGAACAGAGGCCAGAGCCTGGGAGACTGGAGCGTAGCGCCACCCACCCCCACCCCCGGAGCTGAGATACGCCACTGCCGCCACTCGGATGTGCTCCCTATCCCAGAAAGTGTCCTTACCCCTGCACGTAGGGTCTTCGTGGCGACTTCGCCGTGTAACTGTGACCAGTCAGTGATTTGATTTCCAGTCTCATCTCCCCAGAGAATGGAGAATGAGGCTGAAGATTCCAAGCCTCCAATCAGAGCTTGCTTTTTCTGCTGGCCACCTCCATACTGAAACCCACCATGAGTCACCCCATAAGAGCCAAAGATGTTTCCAGCATCTGGAAATCCCAGGGGGAATTAAGAGGTTTGTGTCGGGAACTGGGGTCAAAGACAGCAACAAATACTCCAGTCACTCCTGTTACTCGGGAAACTGCAAGAGTTTTAGGAGCCCTGCACCAAAAACCAGGTAAGAAGACTATTCTATCAGCCTACTGATCCCACTCCGCCCCTGACCTGGCCCTTGTGGGAGCTGCTTACCCACTCTCTTGTCTTCCCTACCCAACTAACGAGTTCCTATGTCTAGCACTTAGTACTTAGTACCTAACACAGCACCGGGAATCTAACATGTAGCACTTGGTACCCAGTGTCAGTACCACTAACTAGCACCTCCATAAACAGAACTTGCAAGATCAGGCAGGGATTTTAAACAACAGCGAAAGGAACAGAAATGAGGCAGGAAGAAATGAGGCATTGGGGACGGAAATGGGCATCTGAGGACGAGGAGACAACATGTATTTCAGAGGCTTCCATCTCACCTACGCAGGGGAATGGGCCTGAGAGCCATTACGAGGTTCCTGCCCAGCTGTAGACCTTGACTCCTATGAAGTCTTAAAGGGAAGTAAGTGTCTCGGTGACCTCTTCCGGAAAGGCTTCTGAGCTGCCTAGATATGGTAGGGCCTTGCCTTGCTCACCCGTAACTGGCCCACGGTGGGTTCACAGCTAGACCTCCATTAGGGTGAGTCAGGAGGATGCAATCAATTCCAACATTAAAACATACAAGATAGATAGAGATTTTAACTGCCTCCCTTGCAGGCAGTTGTCTCCTATCCTAGTTCATATTCCTCCTCCTGGAATCAGATTGACAGGGCCATGGAACGGGCTGGGTGCAAGAAGCTTCATGGAACCCAAGGAGCAGGGGCCCAGGAGTGAGATCTATTGAACAAGAACAGCACAGCTTTTCTGTGAACCAGGGAATGGCTACGCAGGGATGCTGAGCCCCCCAGAGGACATCCTTAGTGTGCCGCCTCTGGGCAGAGATGCATAGCCTTCCTCTGGTACACTCCCCAAGTCAGGGCCAGGTGCTGCTAGACTCCTCTTGATACCACAACAACCTGAAGGAATCAAAATTATGAACCCCACTTCACACACAGATCCAGAAACTGCAGCCCCAAGCGAGAGGAATGGGCAGCAGTGAGGGGAGTGTAGGGCTCTCGAGCCTTTCCTCCTGGCTCCTCTAAAGGCAGGGAGGGGTGCAGAACCTTCAAGAGCTGGGACAGAGGTCCCATCCAGGCCGCCCCCTGCTGACCGTGTGACTTGGAACTTAGCCTCTGATTCTCTTTCTCCCCTAAAGAGGGCAGTGGCAGCACCACTCTGAGTGCTCCCAGAGACTGGGCGAGGTGGTCATTTCAGAGCACTTAACCACAGATCATAAGACACAGTAGAGGATGAATGGGGTTCCATCTACACAGAGGAAGGCTCCCTTCCTGTCGTGCGGGCAGGGGGCGGGGAATCAGACAAACAGGGTAGATGAGAGTCAGGGAGGCAAATTGAGAGCGAGGTAGCCAGCCGGCGGCTCTCAATTCTGCTTCTTTCATCTTTTGTTTAGAAAAAAAAGCGTGTTTGTTCATTCTCGTCTTGCATGAGACGTGACCAGTGACCGCAGCCCCGGAAGCCTTGGCAAATGGAGGAGGGCTCTGAGCTGAGCGGAGGCCAGCAGGTGGGCAGGCAGGCCAAGGCCTAGCAGCAGAAAGACAGGCAGAGCAGGAGCATCAAGGAGGCCCAGATGGAGACGGTAGGGGGAAGAAGTGATGCGGGAGTGGGGAGGCGGGAAGGTCTTGAGAATACCTGTGGAAGTGTTCCTGGGTTCCTGATCGGGGGAGGGGGCTGTTAGCCCAAGAACAGGACTGTTCTGGGTGCAGGGGTAGACAGTGTCCCTGAGTGCAAACGGGGGAAGTGGAACATTGCTCCCAGGCACACGGAGACAGGTGCTAACAATCACTCGGCTCTAGCTGGGTCTGTGATACCACGAGGTCCTAGGTATGATGTAGCACAGGTATGTCACTCTCAATTT